CGCGCCAGTACCGTGCCAGCGCCATGTTAGCGCCAGCACGGAAACCCATATGCGAGCATGCGCAGACAAATCGAATTCGCTAGCACGGTAATGCTGTAACGTGCTGGAACGACGGAACGGGCAAATGCATTTCAGGAGAACAGCGAAAAAGGCCACAATACTCTCAAATAATTGTACGCCATTTCTTCAAACTCTTTGTGATGATTTTGGCACCGGATATCCGTAGTAATCTCCTTTTCCTTAACAGAGTGAGGTCACTTATGTTGATGTCTGTCCACAGAACACGACTTTGACGATTACAAGTTTTTTTTCTATGTTGAACATCGTTAAAGAATTCTAGATTAGAATGTGAGTAGTTTTTATTCGTTCAAGGTGATACATTGCAAGTCTCGACAGCAGATTATGAATTTAGGAAGTTTTTACTGCATGTTTCCTAGTTTCTCGAATGTAGACCACTCCAATAACTCAATGATTTCTTACCATAACATGTGCAACTGCACGCCGCATATACAGTCCATTAGATACATCCAGCTTGATATGGTGTGCTTGCAGCGCCGAGACTTTGCGGTGACACTTGCGCGTGAATAAATGACTAGCCTGAGATGCCCACAATCTGCGCGCGTAAGTAACCTGCATTTAAGGCTTAGGTACAGTCGCTTCATTTCATATGATCATGTGTGCCATTGCACACACTGTCCACTTTGGCGTCCTCATGCTGGATTTGCAATCACAAAAACGCAAGAGACTTACCGATTGTTATGGTTTACATCAATTGGAGGTGAGACGTTACTAAAAAGGAAAGAAAATGCTAAGAACACCTTGGAAACACTTACCTGAAGGCTTGTTTCTCCCACGAATCCAGGATGGGGACGCCAAAGGTGAACTGTGTGTGCAATGACACACATGATCATATGAAATGAAGCGACTATATTTGTTGAAGGCGATGGCTTGGGAAAATTGCAACTGCGCGCTTTCTTCTGTTCCTCCTTTGCCTTTCGATTGTTTAGACCAGGACTGCGCTTGCAAAGTCAAAAAAGTGATTTTTATGGCGTTTTCCGGCCGTGGAGGTTGCTGAGGAGGCTGGAGCGGAGATTCCATTGACATTACAATTTCCACATCTGTTGCAACTCAGAACCAACTCAGGGATTCATAAATAGACTTGTAGTTGGCCATCTTTATCCTGTACTTGCAGTTTTATAACATTCCCATATTAACAAATTCTTCCTTACGTGATATTCGTATTTAGCAGATAAAAATCTGATTTGGGGAACCATATGCTCAGGACGGATTGCCGGAGCAAGTGCACGGAGTTGTAGCTTTGCAATGCAGGACATCGATGTAGATCCCTTTTTTCCTAGCTTCCTCTCTCGAACGGAGGAGCTGGGACGATTCAGGTCGATTGGGCGATTTTCTAGTTTTCATTTTGTTCAGAACTAGGCTTTTCCTACTTCAACAATTCACAGCAGGAATCTTTACATCTCATATATAGAGTGTCCCAAAATACTATACTGAACGTTCAATCCGAAATGACTCTCATGTACGAAGAGCTCGCGGCCAATTAAGCAACATATTATAGAGTTTCAATCCAAGTTAGACTTCTCAGCATAAAGTTCGGGTAGATTCTCTTTCAGAAAATCTTCCTGTGATTGATGGTCTTTATGAGAGTTTTTGCACGATTTCTGCAAACTTAAATGTTAGGTAATTGAACGATCATTTCTTCGAGGAAAACGGGCAATTGCAGTTTATTTCAGATTCCCATTCCTTCTTGAATAGAGCAATATCGCTACTGCACTTTGTCATGGAAATTCAGTGTAGAGCACTTTTTCATAATCTGGATTTTTCCTTAAAGGACTGCTAAGAGACCCGTCATACTTTGCCGAGAAAAGCCCAAAAACGCCCAAAAAAGCCCAAAAAAGCCGGAAAACCCCGAAAAAGCCCGAAAGAGTTGGAACGCAGGAACGGACTTTTGGTAAAATTTTGACATTATTTCGGTGTGCAGACGACAGAAAATGAAACAAAAAGACTCGGTTGCAAATCAACACACATGCCTTAGCGTCAAAACGGAAAAGACGTTTCGGCTCTTTCGGGCTTTTTTGGGCTTCTTTGGGTTTTTTTGGGCTTTTTGGGCTCTTTTCGGCAAATTATGACGGGTCACTAAGAGTAAAAGTATTGTTTTTGATGCATAACACTAATCACTGCCTTAGAATTATCTAGGATAAAAAAGTAGGGCCCCTGAGTGCGGAGGTGCCAGAACCTTTCCAGGTGCAAACGCTGGTGCTAATTGATTGCTGGTGGGAGATGCCAGGAACCCTAGCTTGTCCTCGGAGGGCGTGCAGGAGTTCCTAACACCTTTCCTCGCACCAAGTTCGCACCGGCATTCGCACCCAGGAGGGTTCTAGCACCTCCGCGCTTCAGAGGTCAGGTCCCGCCCATTGCTCCACCCATTTACTGGTCTCATTGTGAGGTATGCAAGCAGCGAGAGCACAGACTCAGTATTGAAGTAATAAGGGAAGAAAAATGGAGGAAAAACGAAGAACATAGTTCACTTCTCAAGTGAAACTTCTGCTACGCCATCCTTCCAAAAAATGAGCATATAAACATTATTTTCAGAAGATAAATTGCACAGAATTTTTTGTATCAAAACCCGGTCATTTGAAACAGAGAATCTAGCTGATCAATTGTAAATTCCTGGTCATTTGACTGAAGTAATTAACATCACGAGTTGAATAACTGAGTGACCAGGAGTGGTGTGAAACCCTATTGCCTAACATTAGAATTATCTATTTTGAAAGCAGTTTATAAATCTTATATATAAAGCTGAATGTCTGTTTGTATGTATGTCTGTCTGTCTGTATGTCTGTCTGTCTGTGTGTACGTATGTTCCGAATAGAAAATTCCATTTCTGAACCGATCCGGACCAAACTTGGCACACATACACTACGGGCCCCGGCGGGTGTCATAGGCTACTTTTCGTCATCGATCGATATCGATTTTATCGATTTTTATCGATTTTTTTGCTGAGTTCACCTACGGGGCTGGGAGTTGGCACAGGGGGGTAATCGAGCATGGGGATTCCGAATACAATATTGGTTTTCAGGATTATCGATTACTTTTATCGATTTTTATCGATTTTTTTGCAAAGTTTGAGCTACGGGGCTGGGACTTGGCACAGGGGGGTAATCGAGCATGGGGATTCCGAATACAATATTGGTTTTCAGGATTATCGATTACTTTTATCGATTTTATCGATTTTTTTGCAAAGTTTGAGCTACGGGGCTGGGAGTTCGCACAGGGGGGTAATCGAGCATGGGGATTCCGAATACAATATTGGTTTTCAGGATTATCGATTACTTTTATCGATTTTATCGATTTTTTTGCAAAGTTTGAGCTAGGGGGCTGGGAGTTGGCACAGGGGGGTAATCGAGCATGCTGATCATCCCCAAGGGTGGTGATCAGCATGCTCGAACACCCCTGTGCCAAATTCCAGCCCCCTAGCTCAAATTTTCAAAAAATCGATAAAATCGATAAAAGTAATGGACGATCTTGAAAACTAATATTGTATTCGTAATCTGCATGCTCGATTACCCTCTGTGCAAACTCCCAGCCCCGCAGGTCAAACTTTGCAAAAAAATCGATAAAATCGATAAAAGTAATGGACGATCCTGAAAACTAATATTGTATTCGGAATCCCCATGCTCACTTCCCCCCTGTGCCAACTCCTAGCCCTGTAGGTGAACTCTGCAAAAAAATGGATAAAAATCGGTAAAATCGACATCGATCGATAACGAAAAGTGGACTGTGACACCCGCCGGGGCCCGAAGTGTATGTGTGCCAAGTTTGGTCCGGATACGGCGGAGCCGGGTAAGCCAGCTAGTTTCGAATAAGCAACTCAACGCTTTCCCAGCAGTTAGGATATTGCACATATATACTTTCCTACTCCCGTCTGCCACCATAAATGTATTTCAATGAGTTTTTCATTCCAGTCACTCCAATGATCAGTAAGAGTTTGATTATCAAAAACCAATTTTTAAGTGTAGTATCTCCATGTACTAGTATACCAAACTTTTGGCGCATGTTTGAAAGAGTTGGCTAAGAGTTCCAAATACGACAATAAATCTGCAAGATGTTTTGATTTGCTATAATTCTTAGATGAACTTTAGAACTTGCGTGTAACTGACTAACTTCTCTGTTATATACTGTGATTGGAAGAATCATAACTTCTACTTGATTTATAATAATACGATATGTTTCACAAACTTATTCTAGCGCAAGCACATACAAAATTTTGAGAAAGCGTCATTTTATCCGAAAACGTGAATATAAGGTAACCCGAAATGCTGGAAATTCAGCTCCAGTCATGTACGAATCCTAAATCCTTGGCCTGAAAAACTTTCTTGTTTCTCGATATCAATGCTTTCATCTTCATAAACAGTACTCGTCTTATAGTGCGTTTACACATTCATAATGAGGGCAGCTAGAGGTAGGAGTAATGGGCGGAGCCGCCCTTTGCCCCCAAAAAGGTGTGATGTCCTCTAACGGATTTCTGGAGGTGCCAAGTACCCCTGCGAGGAAAAGCGGCTAGGCTTTGGGAACTCCTGCCACGCCGCCCTTGTCCTCTGTAGTACCTGCACGGGACACAATCAAGGTCATCGGTCTTGACACGATGCAAACTCACCCGCGGGGACCTGCAGCATGCCATATCGTATTGTTGCTCGCCATTGATCGCTTGCTAGCATGGTAAGTCCATTGCTCTCAAAATTTCCTTGGACTCTGTTGATCTTAGTATTGCAGTCTATGTGACTGATAATCGCTACAGTCATTTCAATGCCTTTTAGACAGACAAAAAGAAACAGCCAAGCTTCGGAGAAAGAGTGAATATCAACGTCGGTGGCACCATATTTGAAACTTCGCTTTTCACTCTGACAAGAATAGACAATACGGTGTGTTCCAGTTTCTTTTCCCTACCCTTACACTATCGTAAATTTGAGATGCTTTCTGCCATGGTCGCTAATCGTTGGAGAAACCAAGAAGAGCTCTTCATTGACCGAAGTCCGACTCATTTCGCAAAAGTAAAATTTGAACAGAACTTTTTCTCATGAAATATATGAAAGTATTTTTTCAAGGTACTGGATTACCTCAGAGACGGTGCAAGTTTTGCTCTTCCTAAAGACGATGATGCTCGGCAAGCTCTTCGTAAAGAAGCTGAGGTGGGAATCGCAAATAGATTTGTAGTTGGCCCCTTTTATCCGTACTTGTAGTTTTACAACATTCCCGACCTTGCCAAGATGTGCTGCTATGAGTTCAAAGTCTTAGATAAAGTGCAGTGGAAGGACAACAATGTTATTGAGGCATATTGGAAATTTCTTGTCAGGTATACAATCTTGCCATTGCGTAGTTGCGCCTTAGGCTGATAGCCTAAGGCCTTGGGCATACTTCGCGCGATTTCACCCGTCACTCATTTTGGCAATCTGCCAAATGTCTTTAAATCCACCCTGGGAGAGATTGTGTACTACTTTGATTTGATAAAATGTCTCATATTCTACACATTAATTCGGAGCATTGCAAAATCGCGTGATGACGAAAGGGTGACAGGTAAAGAGTGGTTCAAGACGAAGGCCCCCAAACGAAGCGTGCATGGTCGTGCGAGCTCACAATGTTCGCAACCGGGCCGCAAATGAATCGACCACCTTCGTCAGGGATCAGCCTTTACGTCGAAGGCCATCAAAGGCACGTCCACCCTTCTCACTTCTATGCTATTTGTCGTTCCGGGACCTTCTCATGCCCCTGTACAAATATCAAGTCGTGAATCCACGAAAACCCCAAAAATCCCCGTTCTCTCATAATCCGCAGATTAATTCTAAGGAAAGGTGATTGGTTGGATGCGCACGGATAGGCGGGACGAACGTCATGCCCACTCAAAGGGGAGGAGCCAACGTGACAAATTCGTCATCGAGAGCGATTTTCGAAGCAGTTCTCTCACTTCGGAAGCAACTTTTGGCAGCGCGAGTTGGGCAATTATACAGTGGGGGGCATTAAAATCTTCTCGACCCCTTCCCACGTGGACGGTGCCTTTACGCGCATCTTCCCAAATTTGTGCGACTCGTCCCTTTCTCAGCGCAGGTGTTGTTCGACACCGCAGAGGCACCATACCCGCCATAAAATTTGCTAGATGTACGTTTTTTTCATAATGCAGTATATTTGATCTATTTTTGTAATCCTATGTCTATTCTAGACATCTGTTCAATCCATCAGATAAGAAGACGTGTATGGCTTGTATGTGCACTGTGAACGGATATGTGGGTCCCACCACAACTGCGTCTTACAGTATGGGGCGTTCTGTGTCGCCTTCAGATTATGATAACTGGGTGCTCCTGAAGCACCATACGCGAACCATGAAAGGGATCGTGGCACAGGTAATATAACCTTTGATTTAACTGGCTTGGCTTCGGGAAGGCGGAGCTTTGTGACCTATTTGAGGTCGCTCCCGCACGCGACGCACCTGCGTCTCTCTTGGGCAAGTGCTCTCTGGTCACATTACCTAGCCTTAATTAGAACACAAAGCCCCGCCTTAACAAAGCCAAGCCAGCTGAATCAAATGATACACTAGGTTTGAACATAAGTACGAGGGTGTGAACGCAGCAGATAAATCTGATTATCTGCACTTTTCATATGTAAAGAAAGAGCATGGCTTTGCATGGCAGCTCACTCAGACAGTTCACCGGAATTTTCGCAGAACAGGTCAAATTTGCAGCGGTTACGCGGTACTCTGTTAACTGTCACAAAAATGGGAATGTTGAAAATGGGAACTTCCGCAGAATTTCTACAGGCTGGTTGAAAACGGGAACTTTCGTAGCACTTTTTACAATGCATGCGGAAATTCCGAAAAATGCCAGCGGCTCCGCGCACTCTGACCTGCCAATACTTCCGTAGGTTCTTGAATATGTTGTTAGTAACGATGTTGTTTGGCTAACAACTAGACTGCATTATCGAACATGTCATCTAGTGCAGAGGAACTAATCTTCGTTTGCTGAACTTCCGCAGATGACCTGGCGGAACTTTCCCAAACGTTCTGCGGAAGTTCCGGTCACTTGTCTGAGCATAAATATTCGTGATCGGAGTAGCTCTGAATCTCGCGCTGTACCGCACTCTAAGACGCTGAATAGCAGTTCCTTGATGAGATTAGATTATCACGCTAGCATTTAAAGTCTAATTCTCTGTCACAAGTGGATTATGAGCTGGCGCTCCCCGGCGAGAGCTTAGCCAAGGCCTTCTGAACGCTCAATCAAAGCCATTAACTCTATTTGGTATTTGAGAGTATTGCAGGTGTTTGAGCAGTGCTGCCGTGTGAAGTATAGCTCTGCGCTCGAGCTACATCTTCCGAAATCTGCATTGCGTTTATCGAGATAATCTTAGATTTTGCATGTATTCTTTGAAATTTTATTCTGTACTGAATGTCTAATCTCCACATCATGATAATGTTGTCCTCAGTGTGAAGCGAGACACCATCTATCTGTAGTCCATGCATATCTTGTGCCTCATAAAACTTTTTATTGAATAACTTGAAACCATTCTGTGCGGTGCTCCAATCATTCTGATTTGGGTCCCTTGTTTTCTCGCTTCTGAAAATTACCTAGTGAATTTTTGGTCTTGGGACCACCGGCGCAATCTGTGCAAAGCAGTGGGACCAAAGCTTTGAGAAAGAAATGGTGAATAAAATTGAAAGGGTTACCTTGAGTTTGTCTATTACGTGCAACTCCAAGTAAAAGTTATAACTATCCAGAAGAGAATGCATACAAGATAGTTATATGTTCTGATACGATCAACAAAAACAACGCGTCCCTTCTCGAATAATTTTTGGGCTGCCCACAAAGCTTTAAAACTATTTAAAAATTCTCTTCAAAATTTGTAAATCTCTAGGGATATGAAAATCAACACTTCTGCAGTCTACTGTAAATTGACAGTCACTCACTGCTCAAGCACAACTTATTTTCATGTGACAATAATGGGCGAAAAGCCAACCCTACGCTGTTATCAGTACCGTACTCGAAGACGCTGATTGGTCCGCTCAGGTGGGGGAGAGTTGACTGGAATTTTCCAGTCACGAATGATATGAACCGTTGCTTGCACACTGGCTTAGTTAGAACCCCCACTCGCTTTTAGTACAAGCTTCATCAAGTGTTCATAATAGTGCAGTCAAGTACAGTTGCGAGACTAAACAGTCTCAAGAAGTTATTTCTGTTACCTCACATTCGGATCGAAAGAATGAGTTGTAGCTTAGAGCGAGATGAAAGAAGAATTTGCAAGGGTGCAGCAACTTATCCCGGATATGTTCATATTTCAAAGTATACAAGACATAGCTTTTGAGTCATTTTTGGACACATTCCCTCTCTTTCAACTATGGTAAGCACCTATTTGTGTTAAGCGTTCTCTTCTCACGGATTGCCATGGATGAGTTGCAAGTGCTTTTCGGTTCGTTAGACCTGGCTCAGCTTAAACCCCAAATTGTCAAGGTAATTTTTGAAAAGCTCACTGTGAGTTCGCTTAGTTGGCTGCTGCTCAGTATGAGAATTTGAAACGATTCTAGATTATGATCAATGACCGAGGCAAATTTTCTTGCCATCTTGAAGCTAATCTTCATTACATCAATGAAAATGTGGAAGTCTACGGGAAAAATGATTGATCGTAGAAGGTTCTCCGATTTGAACACTAAATGCAGTGAAATTAAAGGCAGTGTCCCGAGAAAATTTCGCTTTCCAGTTTTTCACCTTTTCGGAACCTTCCCGCTATGCTAAACTCATATCTGGGCTTTGCAAAGCATGAAAATAGCGAAAATGTGCTTTTTTAAAGGCTAGAAAGTACGTGTAAGTGGGCGGGGTTCGGAAATAGCGGGCGGAGTCTGGAAGACTTCCGCAGTAAATTTTAGGTTTTCCAGACGCGCTTTTTCGTTCAGACTTCACTTATGATTACCTGGGAGTCCGTTATTGCAACGCAGTAAAATCTCAATACTCATATTTTGCCGGGTTGCCTGTGAAGCATCAAAGAAGCAGATAGCAGTCAACATTGCTTTCTGTCCTTCCTTTGTGTCATTTCTCCGCTAAGAAGAACGGCATTTCGCAGATGCTTCCATGAGTCATTCATCTGTGCTGTCTGCTGCGCTTGGCCTTTCACATGGTTATATAGTTGATTGATTAGGTTGCACCGTAGATAATGTAACTATGTAACTTTTTGCTTTTTGGATGTGGCGCACAGTCTTAAGAAGAAAATTATGACGTAAGCTATAAATGCAGCCATTTTGGCTGAGCCAGCCACACATGTATTACGAATGAGTATTGGGCTGTTTGAAAAGTTCTAACTGTTTTCGATACCTTTTTTTGAACTGCCGATTTTGGAGGAAGAAATCATTTTCCATAAACATGTGCTTATATCATTCAAAAGCTCTTTTCTTCGAGTTTTTCAAGCATACTTTTGTTTTCATAGAACTTTGTTTGCTATGTGGTTGCGTTCTTTGAAAAGACAGCGAAACAAATGTGAAAATGCTCGTCTTTGCTCTATCGCCGTGAAATCTACAGCAAAAAGAAAAAATTCCTTTTAAAGCATACATAATGTTTGCGGGAGACTTGTGTTAGAAAACGGTTATCGAGATATGATTTCAAAGAAATTTTGAACCCACAACTTTTAGCTCAAACATAATCCGTCTTTATAGTCCCTTCAAGTCGCATAAAAATCACAAACATATTGCAATCGCGGAACTTTTACTCTACTTAGTAAGATTAGAGCTAGAACAACTGCTACTAGAAGAAAGAAAAGATCTCCTGGTTTGTCAACGGCGAACAAAATTGAAAATGTCAACAAATTGCATTTTTTGCCGCCTCAGAAAGAGCAAAATAAGTGGGTCCTTTCTGTTTTTTCAGCACAAAATTTTTATGAAAGAGTTTGATTAAATCCAAAGTTAGCGGTACTGCTCAGTCGATTATGGGCTACACTGTGAGCAGTGCTTGTGCAACTCAGCTATATTCCAAATCAAGTTATGCTTTTGCAAAGTGAAGGTTTCTACAAGGAGATGTTCCTCGATTTTTGCCTATAAAATCTTCTCCACTGCAATAATCCTGAAGAGTGCGCAGAATAGACAAAGATTTGCGATTGTAATACAGTTTATAACAATTGAAGGATTATTTCTGAGAAGAGTTACGTTGAATCAAAGTCAAAGTTCGAAAACGGGTAAAACTTTTGAAACAACCCAATATAAAGGGGAAATTTTTGAATTATTTCAGTTTCTGCTGAAATTCTTTATAGGGAGGTTATATAGCATGCTTACAAAAAAAAGAGAACTGTCTTTGCATGTAAGCTCCTTCTTCGAATTTTCACCTTATTTTTACCTATGCAAGCCGATGCTGTTATCTGAGTACGGTACTCGGATCAGGTATAAAAATATTTTTCGGCCGCGAATATCGATCGATCCGATAAATAAAGTATATCGATCGATTCGTCCGCTTGGAGTGCCTTAGTAGTCTACATGTGCAAACAAATAATGGTTATTTTGTGCTCATTATAAGTATTATAATGGTGTATGTGGTTGGGATGATTGTGGCTTACTATAGTTTCCCAAACGCAAGCGTTAATTCGCGCTGGGACCCCCACAGTACAGTCGAGTACAGTCGCTTCAGATCGCCGCGTCTGCCTTCATTGCCGGTTTGAGCCAAGTGTCACGGCAGACGTAAAATGGTGAGTTGAGTTAAATGCTGCCAAGTTTTCCACATTGGCAGATCCCTAAAAAAATTGCCGTCATTTTCTCGAGTAGTTTCAAAACAAGGTGGGCGAACATGAAAAGAATGGTGAACGAGTGAAAATCAATAGGCGGCACCGTATTTGAGTCTACCGTTTCCACCCTGACAAGACTGGGTGATAATGTAGGTTCAGATTTGTCCTCTTACTAGTCTTCGGCATAGCCATATTCCCTAGGTGCTTTCTACGATGGTGGCAAATCGCTGGCGAAATCAGGAAGAAATATTCGTGGACAGGAGTCCGACTTATTTTTCAAAGGTGACGCATATACGCATTTTGGACCGCCTGCGACTGCTCTGCTGGTCCTCGACCGACATGGGACACCATTGTAAAAGGAACAGTGATCTCCGTAGGCGGGACCCAAATGGCCCGTTCATCCACCCTCATATTATCTTTTGAAATCCAAAATTTTTCAGATATTAGATTATTTGAGGGAGGGTGGAGGACATTAGGTCGCCGAATGGAAGAGTCCCACGCGGATTCCCTGCAGGAACGCATGTCCGCGCACGTGCAAGGGTGTGTATTTGTCGCAAATGACCGCGGGGACCGCCCTTTTTCGGCGACCTAATGTCCCCCACCCTTTGAAGGATGGTGAGAATGTTACTCTCCCCAAAGAAGATGAGGCTCGAGAGGCTCTGCGTAAAGAAGCTGAGGTGGGTTATGTGAGAAGAACTTTACATGCTTACATTCTCGTACCATAACTTATAGTTCTACAATCTCCCTGGTCTGTCCAAGATGTGCGCACCTTACACATCCGTAAGCAAAGATGACAAAGGCTTTGAAGTGAGACCATTCTGCAAAGGCGATGTTGTGCAATGGAAGGAAAGCGCTATCGAAATGTACTGGAAGTATTTCTCAGGTAACTGTTTTATAGTTTGTGATTGTCTGACAATGGTAATATCTTTTGCAAGATATCTGCACGAACTGGAATATCCATTCTTTGAAAAAAGGAGGTGTATGGCCTGTGGAGAATATAGCGCTTGTTACTTGGTCCCTCAGCTTCGGTCAGTAATGTCGGTCTCCATAAAGCTGTGATCAACTACGAAGATTGGATACCGCTGAGGCAACATATGCCATATATGAAGGGAAAAGTAACCTATGCGGTAAGTGCCAAAATTCATCTAACAATAAGATTTCGATTTCATAGAGTTTAGAGTTTAGAGTCATGAAAGATCCTGCTGTGAAGTGGAATGGGGCAGACTGGATACGCATATTCCTCAATCCGCACTGCGCAAGAGCAGGTACTAGACAGACAGACACTTCCAAACTTTCGACGTTATCCTGATTTTTATATCTTATACTGTCTCACTTTCTTTGAAGTTTTTCGTAGGTTTGCCCGCTCAATAAAAGCTTCTTAGTCAAATCCTAAACGCAGCAATCGTCACAAACGCCGAGCTTATTCTAGAAAAGCTGTTTCCTCGAAGTAGCTGATGCAGCTGCGCAGGCAACCTTGAAGAAATTCAAACATTGATAGTTATACTTGAAGGTCACACTTTGAGCAGTTACTGGTTCGATGCAGTAATCAATCATCTTTTCATAACGGTTAGGAAAGTTAAAATGATTGTTGAGCTTGTGCCGGTCATCTGATACGAAAATCGAATGTTAAATCGACCGACATGTTTACTCGCAGTAAACACTCAGTCAGTATGCGTACTTTCAATTACATAAGCAAAGCTTGACTACAGAAACGCATGGTAGACGATTGTATATTTAATTCAGTTTAAAAATCTGTCTATGTGAAATAATTCTTTTTTGAAATGAGTGGGAAGTCCTAGAAAACATTGTCTATGCGATCTTTTGTGGTTGGCCGGTAACCACATTTTTAACCTCACTACCGTAATCGAACGCGCTGATTAGTCCGCCCGTGGAGTACGCATCGGCAAAAGTTGAGTTTCATTTTCACCTACGAACCAAGACTCCGTCGAAACTGCTGTTCTGGCAACCTGCATAATCTTCAACACTGCCTCTTATGTCGCGAAATTTGCGGCGGCAAAACCTATACAGAAAAAAATCCAACCTTAGTTGCAACTGCCAAACCTACACAGAAGGGTAGCATCATTTTTCTCATTTTCAAACTGCAATATCCTACTAAAAATCGTACTGACGAAGTGTACAGTTGCTTATTTCTACTGTAATAACCATTAGTACTCTTGAACGTGTTTCATTGTGGATGAACTTATTACTGTTTGCATTGTCACGCAGAAATCATGCCCCGTATCCATGCCCCTTATCCCTTGAAAATAAAATTTGCCTGCGGGCTGCTTAAAGGCAGCGTCTCGGCAGAATGAAAATGAACCTACCTCATATTTTGACACAGATGGATAGGAGGCCCTCCGAGTGAACCAAAACAGCAACTCCGAGCCGAACCTGTGAACTCTGCAAGCCAGGGGGCGGCCCAACCGCCGCTCCCCTTCCTCCTTTCGCTCCTCTAATACCTTGTTCGGACGAGTATGTTCTCCGCTAGAAAACGCGCCGTCACTCGTTGCTTCGTAGTGCAGAGTTGTTCTAGCGCTTTCTACCTCCTTACTCTGCTCTCCGACGGCAGAAAAAAACAGCTCCCTTGTCCGCGCCCGTCTCAAGGGGGGTTTCAAAAAACGGGGTTTTCCCCATTTTCGCGCTAAAGGGGAGTTCATTTCGTGATTCAGGGGGCCGGAATAGCCCCAAATCTGCCAAAACCCCGAAGTTGAAAATCTGCCGAGCCGCTGCCTTTAAAGGCAGTGTCCAGGCAAATCTAGGCGCATGGGATTTTTGCGTGGAAAATGATGAGGAGATCCTATAAGGCAATATCTAAGCGGCAGCGCAAATTATTCATTCACGGCTGAGAAATCCCTCCCTAACCCTTTGCACGTGTGTCGCCGAAGGTGACTTCTCTCACCATAGCACTACGTTCGCGTTGGAACCCATCCTAAGTTAATCGCGAATTACGGTCACGACACAGCGACGAGTGTTTGGGGATGGATTTTTCAGCCGTGAGATCATTTGAGCTACTTGGACCGTGAGTTACTAGGACTCCCTCATCAATTCTTAGGCAGAAATCCCATGCGCCCGGATTTGCCTGGACACTGCCTTTGAGTTGTAAAGTTTGCAAGTGACCTATGATAGATTCCGCAAAAATTAATCGTGTTAAAAGAATCCCTGGGCTCTTAAAGGCACCGTCCACCCTAAGTTGAGGTTGTTGAGCTTTTGGCAGCATATAATAGCAGGACCCTCTATCAATCCAATGCCCAAGTCGCGGCGCAAAATGCCGCTTCGGAAGCGAGAAAATCGCTTCGGAATAGCGAAGATGCGCGAGGACCCCCATCCATGCCCGCCCACTTGTGCGGCCCATCCAATCACCGTTCCGGAAAGCCGGCCTGTGGGTTCTCCGGAACGGAGATTGTCGCGGTTTTCGCGCATCCTCGACTTTATATTCGGGATCAGGGACATGAGAAGGACCTGAAACGACAAAAACGTGGAAGTCGAAAATCTGGTGGACGGTGCCTTTAAAGTGCTTGCCGTCGCCAACTCCGTCTCCAAAACTTTGGGATAAGCCTGCGGAAATTTGGAAACGATTTAAGTCTTCACAGCCTCCCCCCGAAGAAATTTGTTCGCCGCGGTGTGCTATATGTTCCTGTTTAGCTTGCAATCATGAAGAGAAAGATCTTTCGTGGACTTCATAGAAGTTTGTGGCTAGGCAGATATGGGCTGTTTCATACTGCAGTCGCTGCAGCAACTGCAGTCATATGGGGGCGGGCAAAAGATATCGATCGATCGACGGTCAATGCTGCAGCGACTGCAGTATGAAACAACCCTATAGCACGGAAATCAGAAAGACAGTGGCTTTCCGTTTATGCAAGATTTAGGTTGATTTGACATTAAAAAAAAGACTGTCAGAGCATGTTATAGACTAGCAGATTTGATTATACAGTGCCTCTGTGATGCTAACAGCACTTGCGCGTGGAGAATTTCTCTCCCTTTTGATGCAGATAATTTGCCGTGTAAGAAGGCCAATTCAAGTTCTGCGTCCTATGGCTTACATGCAAGTGTTCTCAACTTACAAGCAGAAATATAATAGTATTTTATCGTATTCTGCATTTCAGCTAGGCGAGAATTTCAGCGACACGATTGAACATTTCGCTGAAGGTGTGAAGCTTTGAGAATGCTGATTCCAAAGACCGAAGGGATGCATAGAAACATACTGCTGCGATGGGAATAGCGATCTATAAACAACATGGTCAGTTCAATGGTTGTAGCTTTCTCTACAGTGCCTCCTCTTATCACGCCTTTTACTAGTTTAAAAGTGCTGAAACTAAAAAAAAATTTCAGGTAAGTACAGTCAATCTTCTAGCACATGGCACATGGTGGTGTAAGAATTAATGTTGGTGGAAGAATTTTTGAAACAAATCTCTCTACTCTCACAGGTGTGAGTGACAGTGTGAGTTATAGTTCGCTCTTATGTTCAATAATGTCTTGCTAAAATTTGAAGATGCTCTCCATTATGGTAGCTCAACGTTGGCAAAACGACCAAGAGCTTTTTGTGGATAGAAATCCGAGTCTTTTCGAAAAAGTAAGCAGTACAAAAATGTGGGCTTAGTTTGAGCTGATCTCTTTATTTAGATATTAGATTATCTAAGAGATAAGGACCATTTCTTTCCTCCTTCTGATGAAAATGCTCGTGAAGCTCTTCGAAGAGAAGCTGAGGTATGAGCCTATAAAAGAGAATGCGTTTGAAGATATGAATTTAGTTCTATAAACTGAATGATCTCGTCTTAATGTGCTTGCCCGATGTTTTTGCTGTTGGTGATGTTGTGAAATGGAAGGAGAACGCCATCGAATCGTATTGGAAGTTTTTTGCCATGTGAGACTCAATAGCTTATATCTGAGTGTTTAGCCTTCTTTACCTTTGCACATATCAGTAGGTATCAGAAAAAGAATTCTCTCTGTCTAACCTTTGATTCAATGGGCTTGGCGTCTGGAAGGCGGGGCTTTGTGACCTAATTAAGGCCGCTCATGCCCACGACGCAGTCTGCGTCTCTCCCTGAGCGCGTGCTCTCTGATCATTACCTAGCCTTAATTAAGTCATGAAGCCCCGCCTTTCAAGCGCCAAGCCAGTTGAGTCACGGAGTACCCAGATGTCTTTTTTGTAAGGTCCCTGCTTCGTAAATCGATGGATTGCTTTGAATGCGGTGAGAAATTGAATGAACATTCGCGGACGAAGAAAATAAAAATAGATTTTGGCTGTTGGGAGCATTTAAGGCATCATATGCGTTTCATGCAAGGGGGCGTGATAGAGGTAGAATATATTTGTGCTAAGACCTAATATAATGTTTGAGTTACAGGTTCTGAAGCCCTGCCTGAGCGTGCAATGGTTGGGTCCCTACAATTACAAACCATTACACATCCCGAGAAACGCAGTATGTTTGGTAAACCCACGCAGATTCAATTATCATTCCAGGGTAGCTGATACTTGACTAAGAATCTCAGAATCGTAGATTTCATTCAAATTTTGCTCAATCAAGAATGGGCGTTTTTGTGCTTCAGACTTATCCTAATGAATATTACGATTATGGTACGTCGGCCCCATGGAAGCAAAATTCTATAGAAGTTCACGATATGGGTATTTTGAAATAGCACCTTTTTTTCATGAGATCATGACATCTTTATTTGCTTCCTATTGTTTTCATGATCTTATCTAATCCTCAAGTGCTTTCGCGTGATTTAGTGCTGTGCTTCTTATTGCAGTAGAGAATGAATCATTCCAATACATTGTTTGTTGTAACAAATCTTTATATTTATATATTTATATCATTTGCCGTTATCGCACTAATTCGTACGCCATAGTTTACTGCACAAAACATTGAGTTTTTAGAACTCACTAAATATGGAAAAATTGTTAGCAAGAACCCTAAGCTAGAATATCAGAGTGATTAAGCTTAATAGCTGTGCTTCCTTATTTGAAAGCGGTTAGAAGGCAAATCCGTGAAGACGTGAAAGGTACTATTTGGGCGGACCGCGTATGTCTGCCCTCTGAGGCGAGATTGGCTCGTGAGTGGAGACACCGTACCTACCTACCCACGAGCCAATCGCGCTCTAGAGGGCAAGCGTATGCCGTCCCCCCAAATAGCACTTTTCACTTTTGGAAAAGCCGGTCATTGATATCTTTTGAAGCTGCAAAGCACAGTCTTAGACTTAGCTCATCCAGGGGAACCGAGAACGATGAATATTCCAAACTTCTCATGCTGCCGGGCCGCTGCCTTTAAGCATCCTGAGTAACCTAATGTAAGTAAGAATTTGAAAAGATACCTGGATGCGGCTGTCTATCGTGCACCTATCGGGACTCCACATATACTTCAATATATCAGTGGATGCGCTTTAACTTGTTGGATCGAACGGTGCCATCGATCCAGATCTCGTCACTTCAAAGAAAGATATGGCTACACTAGGGTTGTGTTACCCAATTCAGGTGACCGTCTTTTTTTGCAAAGTTATTGGCGATACTGTGTGCAAGTGCCTCACATTTAAATCGAGAAAATCAGGTCTGTCCCTATCCCTACGCTTTGCAGTATTACTCCTACCTTCTTCAGTCTGCACTATTTTCTCAAATCTCGGCATGTGGAATTCTTATATGGAAACGACTACTGTCTAGTCGACAGGATAGGATGAAAATAATATTATTTCTGAACTCATGCCCGGACTTTTTGCGTGCGACCCAGTCAGAGCCTCGAACACCATACTGAGCACACGTTCAGGGTTGCCCAGTCATAAGCTACGTAAGCTCTTAATCAAAGTCACATCATCTCAAGCACGTATGCTTCTTCGTCCGTTCACTTGGTTAGATTCGGTCTTGGTTCAGTTTGCACGATTTATTCGGGACCAATTTACTAGTGTTGCTTCAACTCATAATAAAATGTGTTCATTAATTCGAAGAGTCGTCCAGTGGGACACTGAATAGTAAATAGATAGTTTCATCAGGAATATGCCGTTAAAGTCAACTGTGCGTAAAAAGGAACTTAACCAAGACCATGGCTTCATCTCTACCCAAAAATTTGCGAATTTGATTCACAGTGAATATCTCATATGCTACGAGATACGATGTTCACTCCGCATGTTAGTGTGGTTATGATAGTCTAACATAACATTAGGAAGCTTTGCCTAAAAACGCTATTTGACGAGCCGCACATGGCTACCGTACCCATTCGCTATGTTACGGTCATGCCCTCCTGATGCGACGGCAAACCCCATAGATGCACTAATGTGTAACTTTTGATTCAACTGGATTTACGGCTAAAAGGCGGGCTTTGTGACCTGATTAAGACCGCACGCACCCGCGACGCAGCCTGCGTCTCTCTCGCGCGCATGCTCTTTGATCATTCTCTAGCCTTAACTAAGTCACGAAACCCCACCTTCCAGACGTCGATCCAGTTGAATGAAAGGTTATGTCAAAGAGTATATAACCGACAACAAGCAGAAAATAACCTACCTCAGCCCCCCCCCTTCCCGGCAAATATTCATAGAATCATAGCCACCCTCGACACGCAGTATGGCGACTACTGTACTATCTTACCGGCGCCGCCACCTATTATTCTGCGCACAATGCCTTTTTAGGGTGTCACCAAGTTCGCGAGATTTGAGCAATCAAAGGGAATGTGATGACTAGGAAAGACAACATTGTCCTAATGGGGCTCTCGCGGTGGGACCCGCACAAAGTACAGTCGCTTTAGACGGCGCTGCGTAGATCTTCATTGATAGATTGAGCAAAGTTGCACGGCTGACGTAGAATTGAGAAAATGAGTCCTGTAGGTTTCTTTTTATACTCACGAAGTTGTGCTCAAGTTTCCAGTGTCAAAATATTTTCGGATAGAAGAGGACGAACAAAGGAGAGGACGAATCAAAATCAACGTTGGTGGCACGATTTTCGAAACTACGATATCCACACTAACGAGATTGGATAACACTGTAAGTTTAAGTTGCAATGCTAGTATTCGTCAAAAGTAATCCCAAAGGTGCTCTCCGCAATGGTTTCAAATCGCTGGCGTAACCATGAAGAGCTGTTTGTGGATCGAGACCCAACTTACTTCAGAAAGGTTCTATTCGACTTTTATCCTTTCAGTGGGACATCTGAAGAAATCTTTCTCCAGGTTCTGAATTATTTGAGAGACGGAGACATTGTTCTTCCATCGAGTATAGAAGCGCGTGAAAGCCTTCGAAGGGAAGCCGAGGTGAGGTGCAAATTTTTTAAGTAGCGACATTATTAGAACTTTGCAGTTTTATAACCTTCCCGACCTTGCAATGATGTGCTCGGCAAGTTTTCAAGTAGGCGATTGGGTACAGTGGAAGGAAAGCGGCATAATAGAGTACTGGAGTGCATTTTACTGGTAAGCTTTTTCAATATTGACCCTACAGTGCGTTCAACTTTGTGTACTCTCGAACTGAGTGGTTCGAATCTTCTGCTTAGGTTCGAAGAGTATGGAAGGGAGCCGTGTCCGAATCCTGTCACCTGTGGAGATTGCAAGGCTTGCGGCTCTCAAGAGTGTAGCTGTGCGAACTGTGAAGCTCGTAAACATGGGACACTTTTATTTACTCCTTACAGCTGGAGTGCCTTGGAGCGTGGAATGAAAGCCATAAAAGGAGATGTGAGGGAGGTAATGTTTCAGAAATGTCAGAGAGAAGATTCATCCAATTGAAGATGTTACAGGTCTTGTCAAAGACTTGCTGCATTGTCAAATGGGACAATGGCTGGCGCGTTCATCTTCCACAATCCGCACTACGTTTGGCAACGCCCGACTAGATGCCAGCTTCATTTTCGCTAACTCTGGGCTATATATTACCAAGAGTTCCGCGCGGACATCCGACATGCGCACTTTCTAATATGCGAGTGCGTGTTGCAGATGTCTGCGCGAGATCCCCACTTCCGGCTGCATGTAGTCCTCACGATCTCTTGGCTAGATATTTTTGTGAATAAAATTTCTTGCAGTTAGTAAGAATATAGGCGCATAGGGGGCGCCATACTTGAGTTGTTGAATAACCGCAACCGGTCGAGCGGAAGGGGCATGACTAAAAAAAGAGCGTTTGACATTTGGTGTCACGTAAGCAAAATTCGAGAATATCATTTATCGGATGATTTAGTGGCCCGTAACGGATTAAATGTAATCACGAATTTTTGGCTTAGATTGAAGAATGGAAAAGCATTGTTAATCGGGATCAGCGCAGATGCCACACACAATTTCGCTTGCGCAACACCAAGTGCCAAAGGTCCGTTGTTCATTGCGCAACTTCTGCTCACCGGCTTCCAACTGGTGGTTCCTGTGATATCCCTATATATGCGATCCACACTGAATACTTAGCCCATGTCATCCAAGATCTTGTTAGTTGCACGTGTGTTTTGGGTAATTCACATTTAATATTCGAGATTTTCGGGGTTTATAAAGTCTACGATTAACAAAACTAGGGGGACGCGCAATCTGTGCGATTGCACATACTCCTGAAATGAGCAGAGTTTATACAAAATCCATGCAATTAAGAGCATGAGAACGTTTTATCTCTCAGAATCAACGCATACGTATTCTGAATGCGAAACCTCGCCTGTAGCATTTATATTGTACCATCTTTGGACTAGTAATTCCCACTAAAAAATCACTCTGAAACTGTCAGTTGTTTATGTCTATCGTAATAACCTATGATAATCTTGAATGTATTTTGTTGTAGATGAATTTTATTACTGTTTGCAGAGTTGCATAAGTGGAGCGTCTCTTCCACCTTCTTCGAGGATATTTTGCAAATTATAAAGGCCTGCAGCAAATGATTTGCTTTTGCATATGAATAACTTAGTAATTTTCCAAATAAAAAAAATCCGAACTGACTCTGCAAAAATTTCTTTCGTTGCTTTCGCCAGACCACCTTAAGATTTTTGAGCCCGCGATTTGGAATGCAACTCAAATTTTATCGACCCCTTCCCCGAAAGGATTTATCGCCCTTGTGTTCAGTATGTTCCTATCCTTGAAAGCAGCGTCTAGGCACCTTTTCTAAGTACCGTATTCAGCGGGCCTCTATCCGCAAGGTCTTGACCGCGGGCCCGCCCAATACGGTAGCGAAGTTTGGTTTGGAGGCAGTGTCTGGACCGAAAGTGATTTTGAGATTCTGTGCTTACCGGGCCTATTCGCTATGCTGAACCCGAAATTTTACACTGGAGGGCGAAAGGGGGCTCTAATGCAGAAAAGAAAACAGCAGGTGGGCTGGGCTTTTCCCTTTATCGGGTCAATCTCTCAGCTTCAGGGGTAACGGTTTCGCTAGCCGCCTGAACATTGTCACGGTCAAGTGCGAAAGCGTGACTTGATCGGAGCCGAGAGGAAGGTGGGAGAGTGACTGACAAATTGGAGAGCCCCAGCCACCGGCTGATTTTCCTCCTGCGTTAGAGCCTTTACTCGCCGTTTATGCCCTCTTCAATGTAGATTTTCGTCAGCATAACGAATAGGCCCAGGTAAGCACAATAACTCAAAATCGACTTTTGGTCCGGAGACTGCTCAGACCAAACTTCGCTACTGTACTGGGCGGGTCCGCGCTCAAGACCTTGCGGATAGAGGCAAGTGTCCGCTGAATACGGATCCTGGGACACTGCCTTCAAGGGTTCAATGGGAAATTAACAATGACACGTCTTTGGCTCAGTGATCAGGAGTGCTAAGGCATAGAATATGTTTTGTCGTCGTCCTCAACAGCTTTTTCCGTTCAGGCGGAAATTCTAAAAAAATTTACGGTGATACCTGCGTTTTTGTGCAAGATTTGGCAAGTGTTCAAAATCATACAGGCAAATACATCTGCTAGACTAAACAGTTTTAAGAGTTATTTTTATTACCTCTCATTTGGATCGAAGGAATATGTTGTAGGTTGAAGCGATATGAAAGAAGGATTTGCAGGAGTCCTAGCAAGCGTATCTCAAATATCTTCATATTTTCAAGTATACAAGACACTTTCAAGTCATTTTTGGACATACCCCTTTCGTTCATCTATGGTAAGCACAAATTTTTGTCGAAGCAATTCTTTTCTATCGTGGAATATAACAATGGAAGAGTCGCAGGTGCCTTAGTACATAAGACCTGGCTGGTCAGCTTAAACCCTAAAACATTGTCAAGTTAACTTTTTACTCAGTTGGTTGCCGCTGCTCAGTGTAAGAAGAACTTAGAACGATCTTAGATAAAGATCAGTGACCGAGGCAAATTCGTTGCTTCCTCGAAGCTATTCTTCATTACATCACTGAAAATGTGAAAGTCTATGGGAAAAATTACTGATAGAAGGTTCTCCGATGTGAACACTAAGTGAGTAAAACTTGCAGGCAGTGTCCCGACAAATATTCGCTTTCCAGTTTTTCACCTTTTCGGAGCCTTCTCGCATGCTGAACTCATATCTGGGTTTTGCAGCGCATGAAAACAGCGAAAGTGGGCTTTTTCAAAAAGCTAGAAAGTACCGTAAGTGGGACGGTCCAGAACTAATGGGCGGGGTCTGGAACTTCAGTAGTAAATTCTACACTTTCCAGACGCGCTTTTTCGCTCCAGACTTCAATGATGGAGCTGGGGGTCCGTCATTGTAACGCAAAATCTCAATACTCATCATTTTGCCGGGCTGCCCGTAAAGCTTCAAAGAAGCAGATAGCAGTCAACCTTGCTTTCTGTCCTTCCTTTTATCATTTCTCCGCTAAGAAGAACTTCATTTCGCAGATTCTTCCATGACTCATTCGTCTATGATGTCTGCTGCGCTTGGCCTTTCACATGGTTAGTTTGATTTTTGTAATCGGTCACTGGTAAAATAAAGCGTTATCCGTTTCTTAGAATACCTATCACCTATTCAGTCAGTGCATCGGATTGATTGATTAGGCGTAATGTAACTATGTAACTTTTTGCTTTTTGCATGTGGCGCACAGTCTCAAAAAAATTATGACTCAACTTATAAATGCAGCCATTTTTGCTGAGCCAGCCATCACATGTAAGACTTACGAATAAGTGTGCAGGGGAAGTTTCTAAATTACTTCAGTTTTTGCAGATGTTCTAGGGAGTTATTCAGCATGCTTACAAAAAATATGATGACTGTCTTTGCATGAAAGCTCCTTCTTCGAACGTTCATCTCATTTTTAGCCATGTAAGCCGATGCCATTATTTGAATATGGTACTCGGGACAGCAATAAAAATGAGTTTGTTGGCCGCGAATAAATCAGTCGATGCCGCTAGGAAGGTCTTATTGTTAGTTATAGCCCACAACCACTTCCCACATGGGATCCCAGTTGCCAAATTTGCATGGAAGCTGATTCTGAGGATCCAAACATTGAATCCGTTCACAGGGACAGGGAATAGAAAAAGGTGAGGGCCAAGATCTCGAAAATCGCTGTTTTTTGTCTAGCAGCGCTATTCAACATGTTAAACATGATTACCGTGCTCAGCCGATACGGTAACATCCTCTGGTATTGCTGAAGGGTTTCATAGGGTTTGCTTAGCAGTGAAGTACGTTTCGACAGATAATAGATGTTATATTCGCAATTAATATCAGCCAGTGCCCCCCCCCCCTCCCGCCCAGGCAGGCAAACTTCTAGCCAGCGCTAGGCGACTCTTCTAGTTGTTAGTGACTTCTTTATAAATGCAAGTCTCACCTACATATGCAAACAAAAATTATGTTCAGTTTGTGCGCATAAATATTATCATTTGTATGTGGTTGGGATGATTGTGGCTTGCTATAGCTTCCCAAACGCATGCGCTCATTCGCGCTGGGACCCGCACAAAGTACAGCCGCTTCAGGTCGCCGCATCACTCTTCATGGGTGGGGGAACGAAAGCCGCCAGGTCCAGCCGCCTCCGCGGACCGCTGGTCCTGGAACGACATGCAACAACGCTGCGAAAGGACCAGCTGACCGCGAAAGACGGCTGGACCTGGCGGCTTTCGTTCCCCCACCCACTCTTCATTAACGGTTTGAGCCAAGTGTCACGGCAGACTCAAAATGGTGAGTTGTATGATCGCAGGTTTGTATATCTATCGCTATTGCTATGTAAATGTTCATGGGTAGTCTCAGGCCGAGATGGGAGGACATCAAAAGAGTGGTGAGCGAGTCAAAATTAACGTGGGTGGCACCGTATTCGAAACTACCATCTCCACGCTGACAAGGCTGGACGATACTGTGGGTACAAATTCGCTCTCTTTCTATTCTTCAACACAGCCATAATCCCTAGGTGCTTTCCACAATGGTGGCAAATCGCTGGCGAAATCAGGAAGAGATATTCGTGGACAGAAGTCCGACTTATTTTTCCAAGGTGACGCCTATACTTTCTGGTTAGGAGAACGAAATGCGCCATTTGGGCCCTGCGACTGCTGGTCCTCGACCGGCATGCAATAACCGAAGGAATAGTGGCCTGCTGAGGAGGGTTGAAAATGGCCGAGTTCGATCCGCTCTCACATTATCTTTCAGATTCAATTTTTTTTTTTCAGATATTAGATTACCTAAGAGACGGTGAGAATGTTACTCTCCCCAAGGACGATGAGGCTCGAGAGGCTCTACGTAAAGAAGCTGAGGTGGGTTAAGTGAGAAAAACTGTACATGCTTATATTCTCTTACCATAAGTTGCAGTTCTACAATCTCCCTGGTCTGTCCAAGATGTGCGCACCTTACACATCCGTAAGCAAAGGCGACAAAGACTTTGAAGTGAAAACATTCCATCAAGGCGATATTGTGCAATGGAAGGAAAGCGCTATCGAAATGTACTGGAAGTATTTTGTCAGGTAAAACATCCGGGCTATTGCGTACTTTCTATTTTATAGTTTGTGATGTACTACGCAACTTTTGTGACTATGGTATATCTTTTGCAAGATATTTGTACGAACTGGACTATCCGGTGAAGGCATCATTACGGTGTATGGCCTGTGGAGAATGTAGCGACCATTACGATGGTCCCTCAACTTCGGTCTGTAATGTGTATCTCTTTAAAAGAGTGATCAACTACGAAGATTGGATACCTCTGAGGCAACATATGCCATATATGAAAGGAAAGGTAACCTCTGCGGTAAGTGTCAAAATTTATCTAACAATAAGATTTCGTTTTATATAGTTTAGAATTTAGAGTTATGAAAGGTCCTGCTGTGAGGTGGAATGGGGCAGCCTGCGTACGCACATTCCGCAGTCTGTACTGCGCAAGACGAAATATTAGACAGTTTCACATACCTTCGACATTACCTTGACTTATTGTATCTCTCATACTGACTCACTCCCTTTGAAGTTTCTCGTTAGGTTTGCCTTCTCAATAAAAGCTTTGTAGTCAAAATCTAATCATAGCAATCGTCACACGGCTTGTTTTAGAGAAGCTGTTTCCTCGAAAAAGCTGATGCAGTTACGAAGTCGGAGAAGTTACTGGTTTGATACGGTAATCCACTCAGCTTTTCATAGCCGCACTCAATATGGTTGAAATGTGAGCTTGTGCCGGTACGAAAATCAAATGTTCAATCGACCAACATTGTTTACTTACGATAAACACTGCATTGACAACTTAGTGAACTCAAGATTATAGTCTGAGTTCAATAAATGTGCATATTTTCAATTACATAAGCTGAGTTGATAAAGAGAAGATGGGAACGCGTGGTAGACGGGATTGCATACTTTAACTTCAGTGAAAAAATCTGCCTACTTGAAAAACTCTTCTTTGGGCCGACTGGGAACTCCTAGGACATTGTCTACGCTGCAGTGTAACGACATTCGTTTTTTCATGGCTGGCCAGAAACCACAGTTCTAATTTCCCGCTAAGTACCATACTCGAAGACGCTGATTGATCCGCTAGGGGTACGGATCAGCAGAAGTCAAGTTTTCTTCCGCACGAATGTGTTTACGAACCGTTGCTTGGACAGGCTTAGTCATGCTCCCAATCTTGGGCACCCATACTTGCATGAGCACTGCCATCAACTTCACAATTTTTGCCATGATCAATTCTACGCATTGGAAGGTGGACGTGGGCAGCATCGTTTAGGAGTTTCTGATCACTTTAGCTACTTTTTGTTTCGCACTTTCAGAGATGTAAGTTGTTCTCCAAGGAGAGCTTTCTTTGTAAGAAAACGCAATCCATCTGTTCTTTGAAGCAGGCCTGGCACTTCGACAGATCCGATGCCTTACACTTTACCACTTTGCATCGTGCCAATGTAAGCTTCGACATCAAAAGAGAAATGGGAGCACGGTTGTGCATGTATGGATGAGGGAAGGAGCAGGCTCAAGTGCCTAGAATTATTGTGTGAAACTGATAAGTCTCAAGGAAGCCTTTGGGCCCTTGGGCGACTGCTTTCTCAAGACTCATACGTTTTACACAAGTCCAGACACTTGAACCTACTTTTACGCTGCCCTTTCCCATACATGCGCAACTCGTGCCCCCAATTTAGGGTCAAACCTCCGAGTACCGTATGCGATGACTCTTGATTGGTCCTCTACAGAAAAGTACAGTACGGCGAGATTTTAATGTCTATAAGTCGAGAATTTCGACCTCGAATCATACCAAAAACGTGTCCCAATTGTGTCGTGTTAATAATCCTCTTGCTTCAATGTCTTTCGACTATCTTTAGCTCTTATTCTGTAGATCTGCTTCAACTCTGATCTACAGTATGAAACAAATCACCGATTGCTTTTGGTTTTCTTATCACGGTATGTTACGGTATGGAGTTTAAAAGGTTTTGGGGCCAATACGTTCTACATTCTGCATCATGTAAGAAAAACCGAATAAGCTAGCAGCTTCTACACTAAGTTAATCAGACTCGCTAATTTTATCTTTGAAGTTTGCAACTCAAGGTAAAATTTTGTTGATGAGTTATGGCTGGGAAACCGTTACGGCCGTTTCTCAACATCCCTTAAAACCGTGATAATGTAATTCAAAACGCCTGAGAATTGTGTAATGACATAGCACAACCCCCTCCGACACAACTCCCCAAATTTCCTGAGAACCGTTGCATACGGTTCACCTACAGTGGTGGAGTATGCCGAAAGGTGCTACCGTAATCCTACAGTAGAGCGATCGATATGTGCTCCATACTGTAAATTTGAATTGGAGGGTCATCGAAACTACAATCTCCACGCTCACAAGACGGAAACACTGTAAACCTCAATCCATTTCATTGATTTTTTCAAAAACATAGTTGTTTTAGGTGCTTTCGACAATGGTGGTAAAGCTTTCCATAATTCCTATGGCCTTCTGGAAGCGCTGAGACCAGGGCTGTGCTTGAATAGTCAAAAAAGTGATTTTCGTGGCGCTTTCCGGCCTTGAAGTTTGCTGAAGTGGTGGGCGAGCGATCGCCAACTGAGTCGCACTGGCTACCTGAATCGATCAGCCAATGGCGGCCAAAATAGTGGATTACGGTATCCTGCAGCCAATCGCTGATTTTGGCGGGTATCCCTCACCTAGCCCCTCAGCAATCTCCAAGGCCGGGTATTTCATAAAAAGCACTTTTTGACTTTTCAAGCATGGTCTCAGACTCAACCAGGGTAAAGCGGGGGATGCGGCACGCGACCGCCGGATACGACCCCCCCCCCCCTTGGGCCGGACCTCGGCACGACCCCCCCCCCCCCGCCATTCCCTACATCCCCCCCTCCCCCACCCCATAAGCCTATTGAAATGTAAGACCGTAAATAGTGCTGTGTGTCGCTAGCTTCATGCGATCTCGGGTTTTTCTCAGAGTTTTCAAGTTGTTGAAGATCGATAAAATGGTGAAACTATTCCTGGTGTATTGTCATTGCTGTAGCATAAGCTCATATGATTTTATTTTGAAGAAACTTTATGAGAGGGTAGGAAGAAAGCAAGAATAAATAAAATGCCTGCATGAGATTGAGCGAATTTGGTTCATAAAGCTGCAATCATCTCTGGAACGGCCTTGAATAGATCTGCCTTCAAACCAAAATCAGACACCTGGAAGAAATGCCAAACATTTAAAATGGCCAACAGAAATTATGCATCTTTTCATGCTCTAAACGCGAACTAGATATATATAAAGAAGGTAGACGATTACCTGGAAGATTGGCCCATCGGGATTCTTGTTAATCCTCAACCTCAAAAAGGATGACTTCAAAAAAGCTGCTGCTGTGTTGAATAAAAGAGAAATGAATTTAGTAACATGAAAAAATGGTTTTTTTAGCTGACCGTAATAGCAGCGACTTGCTATTGATACATACCTTGCTGTCCTTCATTCCAGAGCTAAATGCTGTATAGCACCAGAGATAGCAATAGCGATATACAATTCCTGCAAGCTTTGAGTGACTGGACAAAGACACGCACCCACAGCTCGTTGTTGGTTACCCTGACGCTGGATGTAACCGAATGCGATCTAATAAGAGGAGCAGTATAGAAATTAGAACAATACCCTCATGAGATACTAACCCTCTCTAGCGCAAACTGTGCATCTGCTCTTTCATCATTCGATGAGAATTTTCCAACTCTTAGCGAGACAGCCCCACCAGCTTGTACGGAAAATATTGCATCGCGTGAAGAACAGCAGAGCCACGAAATGATATTTGGTTCGTGCGTCATGGAAAACAACACCGCAAAAAGTTCGGTATGAAAGCAATGCACCTAAAAAACGATAATCATGGTTTGGAACCTATTTCAAGATAAAAGAAGAAACAGCAGCAAGAAGGCATCAAAAGTAAATAATGATAGAAAACAGTCAGTATGAAAAAAAAAGGCCGAGAACTCACCTGTGATTGAGTAACAACGAAGAGGATATTACGGTAAGCATTATGATAGACGAGGTTTTGTATGCTTGTGGCAGATTTGATCTGTTCCTCGCATATCACTACAGTTCGGCAAATACTTGACGGAGTATTATTGAAACTGATATCAGAGCATAACGCAATATTGCATCCTAATGAGGAAACTGAAATGTTCTATCAAAAAAATTCGAATATATTCGGATAGATATTAAGACCAACGAAGCAAAAGAAAAGCACTAAGAACATGATGGGCCCGGCTGATATAAACTCACATGAGGCATGGCACGGGTCGAAAGGATCGATTGCTAGATCAAAAAGTGGGACGTTATATGAGACAGACCAGATTTTCTCTCCATTATCTGTGTTCCAAAGAATAAGAGTATCTCCAGAATGGAGTGACAAAAGAAAATCGCGGCTCATGTCCTTCCATACAAACCACTTCATACCTGGAATGAAAGACTGCCAAATATGAATACTTTACGAAAATGGTGAAACTCACTGAGCACATTGGTGGATGCGTGAGAAAATTGGCATCTCTTCGATGCTGAAATTGGCTCAGAAATTATGATTTGTCCACCAATATCCGATGACGCGATCCGATAATCCTTTGTGCGAGACTGTTCGATGATCGAGAACGGAGGTGACCAACAGACCTAGAAACCTCTAATTTCCGTGAGAGTGAAACAGCAGATCTCAAAAAAAAAAGAGAAGAAAGAACAAAAAGGCGAGAACATCACAGCTCATAACGAGAGTGGGATTCAAAGGCGCGTATATCGCGCCTCTGTGTGTTTGACAATCTTTCGAGCGCTACCGTAACCCAATATTTTTTGGCCACACTTCCCAGCATATGGTTCGCAAAAACCATATGTATTTCCTTCTAAAGAAAAAGGTTCGAGGGGAAACAGCTACTACGGAGAGAGGAAGGATGAATCTATAGGATGATATGAAAAAGGCAGCTGTTTGAACGATTTGAAGGCAAGTTAATGGCCTGCGGCACCCCCCTTCAAAACCTGCGGCAGCCGCAGGTTTTGAGGGGGGGGGGGTGCCGCAGGCCATTAACTATATCAAAAAAACATTTTTAGCGGACAATATTTATATGAATCAGTAGCCTAAACCTCACAGATTGCATAGGGATGTTTTGAGCCTGATTCGTCTTCTTAGCTCTGAGTAATATTTGGTGAAAGCACAGCGATCAAAAGCTAAAAGCGATTTTGGTTGGCTTCTAATTCAATAGGTTGGAGGTCTTCTGAAGCGGGATTCCTGAGGTGGACAGAGAAGGAGTAGTGCTTTGTATTGAGTGCAAGAAGAGGTAGCCTACTCACCGTTAAGATGAAGTTAATCATGTTTTAAATTACTGCTTTATACAAGGTTGTTTACTGCTCGGAGACCTCAGAGTTCGCTGAAACTTGGCGCATAGGGGTTATTCGACACGCGGATTACGACAATTATGCTTGATTAGAGGTACGGTAGGTTACGGTAGGCATACGGTATCTGCATTTTGTGTCGTTGAACTTGAATTTTGCAGGATTTCAACAGCGTGGCACATCTAAGAACTTAGCTGCAGTCATTTCCCCTTAGAAACCGCTTTTGACCTTGGGTCGATACGACCCCCCCCCTGCCTACCCCACCCCCCTTACGACCCCCCCTGCGGCGTGCCGCACCCCCGCTTTACCCTGGACTCAACTGATCCAACAGCTGAAGGACATGTGGGTGCGAAAACCTCGCACTAGCAATCTTCCCGAGCCACTGCCTTTAAGACATAATTCACGTAATCTTCGCAGTCATTAAGTCGTGTATAGCAGCGTTGAATGAAATCACCATCTTTTACTAGGTGTAAATACTGCGGAAGAAAGACTGTTAGTCTCTTAAGTGAGACTAACACCTGTGCAAATTGCGAGATTCGCACATTGAAGATGTGCCGCTGTGCGGATACTATAGTTCTCAGCTTATATGCGAATATAAATTATGATGATTGGATGTTCTTAAAGCAGGAAATGGAATTTTTAAAAGACGGACGCAGATAATATCGTAGTATTGCTAGAGACTAAGATTTAATTGAGGATGTTGCAGATGGTATCGAAGACGTCGAGCTGTCACATGGAATAACGATTGGCGCACTCGTCTTCCGCTATCTAGGCTACCGTTGGCAGCGTCGTAGTAGGTCTGTCATTCAACCCCATGTTCACGTGACAACTGCGCAAAATTTTTTTATCATCTGGTTTTTCTCTCAGTGAGCGTACAGGCACCATACCAGAGCTGTGAACGGCAGACCAGTACCCAATTGTGCGGAGGTGACACAATTGAAAGACGAGCGTTTGGCACTAGATATAAACATTAGGCGAGAGTTTTTGTAATTTAAATGACTTCATTGGCCAATAACAGATGGAATGTAATCACGATTTTTTGGGCTTAGAGTGAAGAATGGAAAAGTATGGTTAAACATGACCAGCGAGATGCCAGGCACGATTTTGCTACCGCGACACCAAGTGTCAAATGTCCGTTGTTTAGAGGCAGTGGATCAGCTAATGGACCCCTGTCATATTTTGGCAGTTCCATAGTAGTCTAAGCTCCCCAACCTCACCCTTCAAGTCCTGAAAAAAGCTCAAAACTCAACCAATGACGCTTTCTCATTTGTTGAAGCTCTTTTACAGGACTAAGCGCATGAATTGGAGGGTGAGGTTGGTGTCACGGTGTACTTGGGCGACTACCAACTACCAAAATGAGAGGGGACCATTCTGCCGATCCACTGCGTTTGATGCGCAACTTCTCCTCAAGTGGTTGCTATGGTACCCTGATATGTGCGATCGCACACACTGCGCACTTTGGCCGTTCCATCTAGAATGTGTTAGAGGTTTTGCACGTGTGTTTTGAAAAATCCATATCAATCGTCTTTCCAGAGGCGTGAAAAGCATTTGATCAAAGAAGCAGGATACCATGCGCAGTGTGTGCAATCGCACATATTAGGAGTCATGCATTGGCAGTGAGCAGTTTTTTTTATAGTAGGCTCATTATCTGTTGTGCCAAAACCTGTACAGAAGGCATCATTTTTCCCAGTTCCAAACTAGTGGTTCTTACTAAAAATCAACTGCCAAAGCCAAAAGGAGTTTCTTTCTACTGTAATTAACCATTAGTCTTGAAGGTGTTTTGCTGTGGATAAACTTTTTATTACTGATTGTATTGTCACAGAAATCCACCCCCTATACCTTGAAAATGAAATTTGTGTTTGGGCTGCTTGAAGACACTGTCCAGGCAGATCTAGGCAACTTTTGCGTGGAAAATGATGAGGAGGTCCTAACTAAGGCACTGCCCAAACGGCAGCGCAAATTACTCGTTCACGGCTGAGAAATCCCTCCCCAACCCTTCGCACCTGTGCCGCCGAAGATGACTTCTCTTACCCTAACACTACGTTCGCGTTGGGACCTATCTTAAGGACTCGAGAGTTACGGTCGCGGTGCAGGCGCCGAGTGTTTGGAGGTGATTTCAGCCGCGAGATCATTTGCGCTGCTTAGGCAGTGCCTAAGGAAGCTAGGACCCGCTCATCAATTCCCAGGCAAAAATCCCATGCGCCCGGATTTGCCTAGACACTGCCTCTGAGTTGTAAAGTTGTGCGAGTGACCTACAATTCTGAATCTTCACAAGATTAGTCCTGTAAAAAAATCACGGGGCTCTTACATTGCGTGCTGTCGCCACCGTCGCCTTCAAAATTCTTGGATAACCCCACGTAAATTTGGAAGCGACCCATATTCTTCTCAGCCTCCCCAGAAAGGAACTTGTCCGCCAGTGTGTGCTATATGTTCTCTTGTTTAGATTGCAATCATGAAGAGAAAGACCTTTCGTGAATTTTATAGAAGTTTGTGGCTAGGCAGATGTAGCTCGGAGATAAGAAAGTTAAGATGTGGCCTTCCGTTTACACAAGAGTCAGGTTAATGTGACATGTGAAAAAGACTGTCAGAGCAAGTCATAGACTAGCAGATTTGATTATATAGTGCTTCTGCGATGCTAACAGCACTTGCGCGTGGAGAATTTGTTTCCCTTTTGCTGCAGCTAATTTGCCGTGTAAGGTGGCCAATTTAAGTTCTGCGTCCTATGGCTCAAATGCAAGTGTTCTCAACTTACAAGCAGAAAATAGTAATTTATCGTATTCTGCATCTTCAGCTAGGCGAAAATTTCAGCGACACGATTGAACATTTCACTGAAGGTGTGTAGTTTTGAGAATGCTGATATATTCTCTCATTTCCGCGGTCAAGCCAAAGACCGAAGGAATGCTCTAGAAACATACTGCTGCGATTGGAACAGCGATCTATAAACAACATGTCTAGTTCAATGGTTGTAGCATTCTCTACAGTGCCTCCTCTTATCACGCCTTTTACTAGTTCAAAAGTGCTGAAACTAAAAATATTGTAGTTTTTAGGCAAATACAGAAGCAATCTTCTAGCACATGGCACATGGTGGTGTGAGAATTAATGTTGGTGGAAGAATTTTTGAAACAAATCTCTCTACTCTCACAGGTGTGAGTGACAGTGTGAGTTATATTAGGTTGTCCGGAAATTAATGTCCGTTTTGGTTTCCAATTGCAATAATTCATATGCTTTTCATCCATGAATAGCTTTCAAAGTATCATTCGATAGAGCAAAGCAAGCTCTACAAGATGACCATCTTGCTTTTGCAGCAGCTCTCATCCACCTCAAGTTTTGAGCCAAAAATTAAAAAGACTCAGGAGCCGGAAAAATCGAAACAAATCGTAACTCAGTTCATAAAAACCCCACAAAAATTCTTACTTGCCCACGTAAACACTATCCACATAAAACATCTATATACCCCTCTGGCGTATTTTTTCCTCTGTTAGAAATCAAGAAAAAGGAAATTTTCGTGCAATTTCCAAAGTAATGCTGTGCCCTCCCCACATAGGTAGTTGTATACTACAAACCTGTAGAAGTACAAACGTAAATTTTCAGCTCTCTACAAGCTTTAGTTCTCGTGAAATTTAAATTTTAGCTTGGATCACCTAACTGGGGAAAGCTATAATCGGTATTTCTCGAAAATTAAAGCTTGTAGAGGGGCGAAAATCTAAGTCTGTACTTTTACAGGCTTGTGGTATACAACTACCTATGTGGGGAGGGCACAGCATCACTTTGGCGAATGCACGAAAATTTCCGTTTTCTTGGTTTCTAACAGAGGGAAAAATACGGCAGAGGCGTATATTGATGTTTTATGTTGATAGTGTTTACGTGAGCAAACAAGAATTTTTGTAGGATTTTTTGAATTAAGTTACGATTTTTTTCGATTTTTTGGGTTGCTGAGTTTTATTAGTTTTTGGCTCGAAACTCGAGGTGGATGAGAGCTGCTGCAAAAGCAAAATGGTCATCTTGTAGAGCTTGCTTTGCTCTATCGAATGATACTTTGAAAGCTATTCAGGAATGAAAAGGTATGAATTATTGCAATTGGAAACCAAAACGGACATTAATTTCCGGACAACCTAATAGTTCGCTTTTATGCTCAATAATGTCTTGCTAATATTTGAAGATGCTATCCATTATGGTGGCTCAACGCTGGCAAGAGGACCAGGTGCTTTTTGCGGATAGAAATCCGACTCTTTTCGAAAAAGTAAGGAACACAACAATGTGGGCTTAGTTTGAGCTGATCCCTCTGTTCAGGTATTAGATTACCTAAGAGATAAAGATAATTTCTTTCCTCCTTCTGATGAAAATGCTCGTGAAGCTCTTCGAAGAGAGGCAGAGGTACGAACTTAAAAAGAAAGTGCTTTTGAAGATATGAATTTAGTTCTATAAACTGAATGAACTCGCCTTAATGTGCTTGCCCGATGTTTTTTCTGTTGGTGATGTTGTGAAATGGAAGGAGAACGCCATCGAATCATATTGGAAGTTCTTTGCCATGTAAGAGGCTAGCTCATATCTGACAGTGATTGTTGAGCCTTCACTATAGTTGCACATATCGATAGATATCAGAAAAAGAATTGCCTCTGTCTAACCTCTGATTCAACAGGCTTGACGTCTGGAAGGCGGGGCATTGTGACCTAATTAAGACCGCTCGTATCCGCTCTCCCGCACGCGTGCTCTCTGATCATTACCTAGCCTTAATTAGGTCACGAATCCCCGTCGTGACCTAATTAAGGCCAAGCCAGGTGAATCAAAGGGTTGCTGACATGACTTTTTTGTAAGGTCCCTGTTTCGTAAGTCGATGGATTGCTTTGAATGCGGAGAGAAACTGAATGAACGCTCGCGGACGAAGAAAATAAAAATAGATTTTGATTGTTGGGAGCGTTTGAAGCACCATATGCGTTTTATGGAAGGAGGCGTGATAGAGGTAGAATATATCTGTGCTAAAACATGATGTAATGTTTGAGTTACAGGTCTTGAAGCCCTGCCTGCGCGTGCAATGGTTGAGCCCCTACAATTACAAACCACTACACATCCCGGGATCCGCAGTGTGTTTAGTAACTCCACGCAGATCTAATCATTATTCCAGAATAGCTGATAATTGAGTAAAAAAACTCAAAATCTTAGATTTCATTCAAATTTTGCTCAAGCAAGAAGCGTTTTTTTGCTTTAGACCACATCCTGAAGAATATTGCGATTACGGTACGTGCGTAAAAAATCGCCTCATACTCGGTTGTGTTGCTTCCTCAGCATACTTACAACTACGGTATCATAGCGAACAATACAGGTTAAAGGCAGTGGCTCGGGAAAATCGCAAGTGGGAGATTTCTACGACTACATGGCCTTCTAAACCAACTGAGTTAGGTATTGTGCTTGAAATGTCACAAAAATGTTGTTTTTTCTGGAGTTTACCGGCCTTGCAGATTGCTGGAGAGGCGGGGCGAGGGATTCCCGCCATAATCGCCAAGTGACTGCATGATATGTAACTTCACCTATTTGGGAGGCAATTGGCTGATCAGCGCAATCAATACGATACAGTTGACGATAATCCCTCGCTCCGCCTCTTCAGCAGTCACCAAGCCAGGGAAACGCCAAAAAAAGCACTCTTTTGACTTCTCAAGCACAGTACCTGACTCAGCTGGTCCAGAAAGCCTGTAGTTGTGGAAATCCCCCACTTGCGATTTTCCCGAGCCGCTGCCTGTAAACAGAACAACAAGTCTAAACAAAAAAAACTTCTTACAGTATACCTACACTAGACTACACTATGCCACTAACAACAAATCAATGTAAATGCGGTTAAAAAACCTTTAATTTGCATGCTGAAGAACCCTCTCACAACGATTTTTGAAATTTTTATTCAAGAGCACCTACGGACTTATTATAACCTGCGAAATATAACGATATCCGTGATCATCATGCCAAAAAGCCACGTAAGCTGTGTTTTTGAATAGCTCTTTTTTTCAAGAGATCATGACGTCTTTATATTCTTCCTGTTGTTTTCATGCTCTCCTCTAATCCTCGAGGCTTTGGGTCGCGTGATTTAGTGTTGTGCTTCTTACTGGTAATAGATCATTTCAATACATTGCTCATTGTAATAGTTCTGTACGATGTTTTTCCAGCGTACCGCACTAATTCGTGCGCCATAGCTTACTGCATAATACACTGGGTTTTTAGACCCACTGAAGATAAAAAAAATTGTTAGAACCTACAAAGCTGGAGTATTAGAGGAACTAAGCTCAATAGTTGTGCTTCTTCATTTGAAGGCGATTAAGGCAAATTTGCGTACCTGGATCTTACGTGGAACAGAATAGGAAGTCCTAACCAAACCATCGTCTAAGCGGTAGATCATGCGATTTATTCGTGGCAAAGATTTAGTTTTACACTCTTGATTCACCCCATACCTAGCCGACGACGCGAATTGTTCCGCTCGAAGGTAAGTACTGTACAGCGAGAATGCAAAATTGAATTTCGGTTGCGAAATAGCATATACAGGGTGGCCCAAAAAATGTATCCACTGTTTGATTGTTAATAACTGTATCGGTGGTTCCTAGGCCTTTCTGTGGCCTGAGGCGAATTAGCGCCTCTTGATGTGTGTTATACAGAACACATTAGCTATAGTAGCTTTATTAAGTCAGACGACGAGCACGTATTAGTGCAGTGGTAGAATGCTAACGATAATAGGCGTGGTAGAGTAACATAACAAACTATCAAAAAAAGGTCATGCTTATGGCATGACCTGTGAGGTACTTCGGTAATTCGGTAACTGCAGAGATACGGTTGTTAGGAAGTGCCGACAATGTCGGCACACTCCGGCCAGCGAGAGGAGAAAGTACAACATATATCTGTGCGATAGAAAGGGGGTCGGTTATACCGGCACACTCCGCCCGGCAAGAGGAATGGACAAATGAATTGAAAAGTGATGCAGATTTAGTAATACAACAACATTTATCCATGAAGCGGTGCCTTTGTCCGGGTCTCGTAATGGTCGTCGTTGCACCGGAACGCGACTGAACACAGGGATCCTTCTTGTGTAGCGGCTGCTAAAAAGTGAAGTAGATAGATCTAAATTGTAGTGCAGGCCAATGGAAAGTGTTATTAAACTGATCTTCACTGGCACTGGTACTGGATGAAGTTCATAAATTCCTCTCTTCTCATTGTTCTTATATGATCGTAACTTCTGAAGTTGGCGTTCTTCACTGATATTATTGCATGCCTTTGCCAGAGGCAATCCTGGTAGTGTGACCTGTGCAAAGGTCAGGCTCTCATCTGCAACAGCTGGTAGTATATCAGTGTCTTCAGCCTCGAACTCGCGATATCCATCATTTTCACTAATCTTCTCCTCATTGCTATGTTCGTCTGGCTTATCGTTTGCAGTGTGACTTGCTTTTTCTTCAGCGTATGGAAATCCGGCATGCAGTATGTGTCTGTGTAGAACCTTCCTAATGCTACTTTGATTTTTTGTTGCAAATCTTCTTCTACTTCCTATTGCGGCCAGTTCTATCTCAATATCTGTAGCGAGCATTTCTAGCTCAAACGTAAACATCTGAGCATTGACGGCTATTCGAAAAAATCTTATCTGTTCTTGGAGCGCGTCCATTTCCTTTGCCATGGCTTGTCTCATCATTTCGGAGCTTTCCTTGTAGTGCTTCCACATGACGTCAATTTTTGATTCCAGCTGGTTTTTGCCGGTTTTGATTTCCATGATGCATATTGGTAGTAGGTCCAGATGGTGTAGGCAGAACTCCTGTCGTTCTTGTTCGTCATCTGGAAGAGTAATTTTCTCACCATAGAGCTGGTATTTCTGCAGTATGTCCGCGAGATTCTTGGTGTACGTCTTCAGGTCCTTTATGATGAGATGAAGAGTCGCATCACTTTCTTGTGGCTTCCGCTGTCCTCCTTGGAAGTGGGGCATGATATCGGTCGTGTTTGGCCGATGCACCAAATGTATCGGTGGTTCCTAGGCCTTTCTGTGGCCTAAGGCGAATTAGCGCTTCTTGATGTGTGTTATACAGAACACATTAGCTATAGTAGCTTTATTAAGTCAGACGACGAGCACGTATTAGTGCAGTGGTAGAATGCTAACGATAATAGGCGTGGTAGAGTAACATAACAAACTATCACAGCAGGTCATGCTTATGGCATGACCTGTGAGATACTTCGGTAACAGTAGAGATACGGTTGTTAGGAAGTGCCGACAATGTCGGCACTATAACTTTCTTATTATGAGGTCTTTCGAGAAGCGGTAAGCGCCTTGTAGAGCTAGCTGGCTTCAACTTAGATTTGCAGTATGGGGCGAATAAAGTATGATTATTATTCCTATGCCTAGTGTAAAAGTTTTCAAACTGTTTTGTTTCCTTTCTGAGGCAAAATATGGTCTTTCATGGCTCAAAACCCTTTTTGAAGTCTCTACCTTAATCCTACAGTAATAAAGAGAGATGGATGATTCGTTCTATAGTTCAAATCTAAGTTGATCCTCGCTCTACAAAATGGTACCTAAAGCTTTCCGTAACACTTCATCACAAGAGAGTTATTTACAATCAAACAGTGGATACATTTTTTTGGAAACCCTGTATAATAATTATGATAGTATTAATGGCATTTCACCCTTTACTTTTTTTTACGATGTATAAATCAGATGGCGCTTATGTCATTTGATGCGCGAAGTAATTTGTCTACAACACACCCGCTCATTATGTCTGCAAAAAAGACGCGGCGGTCACCTAAAATAAATGATATTACTGTAGCGTAACCATATCTTGCTTCAGAGTGGACGGAATTGGCCAGGGGCATCGTCGATCAGCTGAACGAGGCTAGTCTTTTTTCACACAGAAGCACCTGTTTGGATACGATATGTGCACGGAACTAGCTCTCGCAAGTAAATACAGCGTCCGCTTACGGTAAACCAATCAGTGTTTGTGCTTATAGGTAGCGGCTCGGCAGAATGACGACTTTGGGATATTCATCGTTCTCGGTTCTCCGGGATGAGCTAAGTCCAAGACTGTGATTTACAGCTTCAAACGACACCAATAACCCGCTTTTCTAGACGTAAAAAGTGCTGTTTGGGCGGACCATGCCTGCTTTCTAGAGCGAGAGTGGCTTGTGAGTGGAGACACTTACCCACCGTACCCACGACCCGATCGCGCTCTAGAGGCCAGGCATACGCCATCCGCCCAAATAGTACATTGATATCTTTTGAAGCTGCAAAGCATATGAAAAGACTCGTGAGATGTGGCTGTCTATCGTGCGCCTATCGTGACTACATATACTTTTATACGTCAGAGGATGCGCTTCTTCATGCTGAATCAAACGATGCTATCGGATCCAGATCTCATCAGGCTACACTACGGTTCTGTCACCCAATTCAGGTGACCGTCTTTTTTGCAAAGATATGAGCGGTATTCGCAAGCGTCTCACTTTGAGTCGAGAAAGTCGTATCTATCCCTATCCCTACTCTTTGCAGTATTACTCTTACCTTCTTCAATCTGCAGTACTTTCTCAGATCTGGTTATTTGGAGAGAGGATAGGATGAAAATATTACTTCCGAACTTATGCCCGGACTTTTTGCGTACGGCCCAATCAGAGCCTCGAACACGGTACTGAGCATACGTTCAGGGTTGAATTGCTAGTCATAAGTCAGTAGCTTTACTAAGAGTGTGTCACATACCTCATCTCATGCACGTATGCTTCTTCGTCCGTTCACTCGGTTAGATTAGGTCTTGGTTCGGTTTACACGATTTATTTGGTGAGACCAATTTACCGGTTTTGCTTCAATTCCCGATAAAATGTGTTCATTAATTCAAAAAGTTTTCTAGTGGGACACTATTTAGTGAATAGATAGTTTCATCAGTAATACACCGTCAAGTCACGTGTGTGTAAAAAGGAAAGTTAACCAAGACCATGGATCTCTACCCAAAATTTTGCGAACTGGTTCACATCAAATATTTCGTATGCTTTTACGAAGTACGATTTTTGCTCTGCATGTTAGTGCCCTCTAATGTGGTCATGGTAGTTCAACATTGAGAAGGTTTGCCTAGGAACGCTATTTGAGGAGCTACATGTAGGAGGTACATGGCTACTACCGTAACCACTCGCTAAGTTACGGTAATGCCCTCTTGATGCTACGGCAGAATCTCATAGTTGCACTAATATGTAACCTTTGATTTAACTGGGTTGGCGGCTAAAAGGCTGGGCTTTGTGACCTAATTAAGGCCGCTCGTGTCCGCGACGCAGTCTGCGTCTCTCTCACGTGCATGCTCTTTGATCATTCTCTAGCCTTCACTAGGTCATGAAGCCCCGCCTTCCAGCCGTCAATCCAGTTGAATCAAGATTATACCAATAGAGGTTAACTGACAACAAGCAGAAAGTACCCAACCTCAACTCCCTCTCTCCCTCCTCCCTCCCGGCAAACAAATATTCATCGAATCATGGCCACCTTTGATACGCATACGCTGTATGGCGATTATTGTACTATCTTACACGGCGTCGTCACCAATTATTTTTTGCACAATCCTTTATTAGGGTGTCACCAAGTTCGTGAGGTTTAAGCCATTACCTGAGAAAGACAACAATGTCCTAATATGGGGCGTTCGAGGTGGGACCCGCACAAAGTACAGTCGTCTAGACGGCCCTGCGTAGATCTTCGTTGATACTGAGCAAAGTCGCACGGCTCTCGTAGAATTGGGGGAACGAGTCTGGTAAGTTTCTTTTTATGCTCACAAAGTTGTACTCAAATTTCCACTGTCCAAATAGTTCCAGGTAGAAGAGGGCGAACGAAAGGGAGGACGAATCAAAATCAACGTGGGTGGCACGATTTTCGAAACCACAGTATCCACACTAACAAGATTGGATAACACTGTAAGGTTTAAGGTTCAACACTAGCCTTCGTCACAAGAACGTAATCTCAAAGGTACTCTCCGCAATGGTTTCCAATCGCTGGCGTAACCGGGAAGAGCTGTTTGTGGCCGAGACCCAACTTACTTCGAAAAAGTGCTATTCTAGTTTTATCCTTTCAGTATAACATCTGAAGAGAGCTATCTTTTCAAGGTTCTGAATTATTTGAGAGATGGAGACATTGTTCTTCCATCGAGTATAGAAGCGCGAGAAAGCCTTCGAAGAGAAGCCGAGGTGAGATAGTGCAGACTTTTCAAGTGATAACATAATTAGGACTTTGCAGTTTTATAACCTTCCCGACCTTGCAATGATGTGCTCGGCAGGTTTTCAAGTAGGCGATTGGGTACAGTGGAAAGAAGGCGGCATAAAAGAGTGCTGGAGTGGGTTTTACTGGTAAGCTTTTTCAATATTGACCCTGCAGTGTGTTCAACATAGTGTACTCTCAAACTGAGTGGCTCAAATCTTCTGCTTAGGTTCGAAGAGTATGGAAGGGAGCCGTGTCCGAATCCTGTCACCTGTGGAGATTGCAAGGCTTGCGGCTCTCAAAAGTGTAGCTGTGCGAACTGTGAAGCTCGTAAACATGAGACAATTTTGTTTACTCCTAACAGCTGGGCTGCCTTGGAGCGTGAAATGAAAGCCATAAAAGGAAATGTGAGGGAGGTAATGTTATATCAACGATAGAGACAAGATACATCCAAGTGAAGATGTTACAGGTCTTATCAAGGACTTGCTGCATTGTGAAATGGGACAATGGCTGGCGCGTTCATCTTCCACAATCCGCACTACGTTTGGCAACGTCCGACTAGATGCCAGCCTCATTTTCACCAACTCTGGGCTATATATCACCAAGAGTTCCGCGCGGACATCCGACATGCGCACTTTCTAATATGCGAGTGCGTACTTGTTGCAGATGTCTGCGCGAGATCCCCACCTCCGGCTACATGTAGTCCTCACGATCTCTTGGCTAAATATTTTTGTGAATAAGATTTCTTGCAGTTAGCAAGCAAACAGGCGCACTACTCAGACAATCCATGGGAACTTCCCGAGGTCTGTGAGGGAACTTTCCTCGGGTCACCTGCGGAAGTTCCCGTGAAGCGCTCGGGAAGTTTGCAAAAAAGTCCTCGGGAAGTTCGCATGAAGTGGGAAATCTCCCGAAAACTTATCTACAGAACTTCCTGAGGGCTTCAGATTGGCTCTGCGTAGCTGCACCGAACGTTGATGATGAATCCTGCTACTTAATAAAGCCGCACCCTTAGTAGCTACTCAAACTAGTGTAGTAGTAAGGGTGGAGCACTAGTAGTAGTTATACGCAAAAACAGTTATGCTCCATCATTTATTGTTATGCAGTAGATATAACATATCGATGGATGGGAATGGGAGGATTTCTTCAAGTTCTTAAAAGATCGAATTACAATAGTGCCCGAGTAATGCGTAAGGAGTATCATATTGACAGTGAGATATGAAGTAAGCATGTACTGAATATAAATGAAGCAGTGATTACTGAAAAAAAATGTAACTAATGAGGCAAAGGCACGATGTTACATGAGAAGACTTATGATGGATCAGAAATTAAGCATCAGAATCAAACAGGACAGCGACAGGATCAAATTCCACTACTGTGTAGCGCTTTCCTCTTCCATTCTGACTTCGTCATACTTGCCTTGTCCTCTCTACCAAATCCGACCTGCGCAGCCTTGTATTTCTAGAAAACAAATTTTTAGTATAAAAACAACTGAGACTAAGTTTGAACCTTTGAAGGCACAGGTTTTCCTTGGTTGAGGCGATAATAACGGCGATAATAACATCCTCGCTGTAAAACTGAATTTAGAGGTAAAAGACGATTCTGGAAAACTTATAGTGCTTCTGCGATACAGGTCCTGATTTGGCCGCAGTAGAAAGTTTTTTGCTCTGTTGGTCTCGTCTATTGTTGGTGAATGCCAGCGCACTGAAAACAATGCACATTGGAAAAAGAGAAATTTGCTGGTTACAGCTTCAGTAAGAAAAGCAGTGCTAAATCAAAAAAGAGAAAGAAACATTATCATAGAAGTGAGCTGAAGCATAACTAGTGTCAAATAAAGGGCAATCACGCTCACCTGAAAGTCGACTTGTGCCCTCAAAGTAGAAGCCTAGAACTATTTGCTCGCGACTATATTCGGTTATTGCCCTTGCTCTGAAAAATTCACGCTAGAAAAGAGGAAGGAAGAAATGAAATATACAAAGAATCGTAAGCGCAGTTTAAAAATCATCAAATCGCGGGAAACCGCGGTGCATTCCCGAAGCGCACGCACATATAGCACCTTCACATAACTGCTTCACTAGCAAGGAGAAAAGATCGAAATTACAAGCACTCAACTAGGAACCAGAGCCTAAATACTACCTAAGATAACACTCCTATTTACACAATTTGAACTGCTAAACTTTCACCGTCTACAACAAATTGACAGACTAGCAATACTGGCAATAGAAGACTAGAAATAGCGCAAGTGCACTGTTACGAAATACAGAAAAGAAAGCAAGGAGAATCAGACGCTGAAAAAGACTTGCCTGAATTCATGTTCTCCTCTTTATATACAAAACAGCACAAAGTCACATTTAGAAGGATTTCGAAATACGTAAAAGTCGTGAGTAAATGTAAAGTCAAAAGGAGTCATTTACTTATTACATGGTGGATCATAACAGCCGCACTCGCAAAGAGCTGTACAATAGATGGTCGCACATACATTGAGGTAATTCGATAATCGGATCATCTATTTGCTTGTTTTGGCTCTGGGTCATAGGTTCACACCTCGCACTGCGACAGAGGACGATAATTATGATGTGCAAAGTAACAAGCAAGAAGTCACTTCACCCTTATCGACAAGTGATGCAAATAAATTTGAATAATGCCACATGAAAAGAAGAGAAGAAAGTCAATTTACAGAATAAAACGAGAGGACGATAGAAAAGAAACACTACAAGGGGTACGTGCCAAGATGAACGATAGCTGGAAATAAGCATACTGTACTCCTGCGGGTGTCAATATACCGCGCATTAAGTCTTATGTTTTGAAGCGATATGCTCTTTACTGGATTGAAAATGTTGTCGAAAAGTAAAGATCAAGGCCCGTTAAGTTCCCAGCGTTTTTTCCGAATTCCTTAATGCCATCATAACGTAAATATAGAATCTGAAAAATATTTGACCTACGCAACGCATATGGCTGGCACAACCTATCGTTCATGTTGGCTGCCCCCCCCCCCACTACAAGTACCCCACTTGCGCTAAAACAGATATCGCACTGACCATTACATAAGTTTGATGAAGACTCTGTGACTTTTTACGACACTTCAGTCATTAAAATGAACGTAGCGTTATTACGAAACACCGCGAAGCTCTCGGAAAATTCCCTTTTCTTGAAAGCTTTCGGAAAGTTTCGCATTTATAGATACTTCCCGAGGAAATCCTCGGGAAGTTCCTAACTGCGTTGCTCCTGACGTCAAAGTTTTCTGGAAACTCCCATTTTTGCGCTTCCATTCACCTCTGTGTTAAATGAGTTCTTCGGGAAGTTTGCCAAAATGGCTTGTTTTCGGGAAGCTCCCGTGAATTGTCTGAGCTAGGGGACGCCATACTTGAGTTGTTGGATAATCGCAACCGGTTCGGAAAGGGCGTAAACTAAAAGAAGAGCGCTTGACATTGGTGTTACGTATGCAAACCTCGAGAATATCAATTATCACATAAATTTAGTGACCAGTAACGGATAAAATATAATCACAATTTTTTTTTGTTTTAGAGTGAAGAATGAAAACGTAAGAATCGCGACCAGCGCAGACGCCAGGAACGACTTCGCTTACGCGACGCCAAATGCCAAATGTCCTATGTTTACTAATGTGCAACTTCTGCTCAACCGGTTGCGGGTTCGCTGTTTCCTGCCGTATCCTGATATGTGTGATCGCACACACTGAATACTTAGCCCGTGTCATCCTAGATTTTGTTAGTTGCATGTGTGTTTTGGGTTATTCACATAGAATATCCATTTCGTGGGACGCGCAGTGTGTGCAATCGCACACTCAGGATCTGAAATGAGCAGAGCACGTTTAGCTTTACACAAAATCCATGCAATTGAGAGCATGAGTTAAACGTTTTCTTTCCCGGAATTAGGCGCATATTCTGCTTTGAAACTCAATATGTATGAAACCTCGCCTGTACAGAAGGGTCTGTAGCATTTGCATTGTAACTTCTTTATCCACTGGAAACATGTTTTAAACAGTTGTTTATGTTTATCGTCATAACCTATGTTGATCTCAAATGTATTTTGTTGTAGATGTATTTTACTACCGTTTGCAAAGTTGCATACGTGGAGCGCTGCTCCACCTTCCCAATATTTTGCAAGTTTAAAAGGGCCTGCATGAGTTGTGAAGTTGCAAATGATCTGTTTCCGCATGTAATTAATCAAGTAATTTTTCAAATAAAAAATCCGAACTAGCTTTGCAAAAATTTCTTTCGTTGCTCTCGCCAGACCCTTCAGGTTTTGTAAGCTCTCGAAAATTTGGAAAACGTCTTTATCGACTCCTCGCCCGAAACGAATTTGACGGCCTCTGTGTTAATATGTTCCTATCCTTGGAGGCAGCGTCCAAGCACCTTTGCTAAGTACCGTATTCAGCGGACAACTGGTCTTGCGCGCGTACCCGCCTAACACGGTAGCGAAGTTTGGTTTGAAGACAGCGCCCGGAACAAAGTCGATTTTGAGATTCTGTGCTTACCGGGCCTATTCGCTATGCTGAATCCGAAACACACTGGAAAGCGCGAAAACGGCGAAAAGCTCTAACGCAAGGGAGGAAACAGCAGGTGGGCGGGGCTCTCCCCTTTCGCGTACTTTGGGTTTCTAGCCGCCTTAAAGGCAGCGTACACCCAAAATCTAAGTTACCGAATTTCCTAGGTCTTTCTATACCAAGTATATACTGGGCCCAGAAGAAGACCAACTGCGTTGGTCCGGTCTCCCAATGTTGCTTCTGAGCGGAGAAAACCCCCCTCAATTTCCTTTCACTCCGCCCCTTTCTTTCACTCCGCCTCCTCCGGACGAATCCACGACAGCGTAAGCTTCAGTTGCCATTGCAGTTGCTGTTGCAATGCTGTTGCATCTGCAACTGCAGTTGCAGCAGTGCAGTTGCTTTTTGCGGTACGCCTCCTTCGAGCGACGAACCACGACAGCATATGCAGCAGTCGCAGTTGCAACTGCAGGCTGTCATGCTGTTGCAGCTGCTGGCGAGCCGACGAGGACGAGCAGTTCGAAACTCGTCCGCCCCTGAAGAGAGGGTCCCCGGAAATCGGGGTTGGGACTTTTGGAGGATTTCAATGATATAACTGTAATCAGCGGCACGGAAAGGCCCCAGAATGACAAAAACATCGAAGGTGAAATTTTGGGTGTACGCTGCCTTTAACATGCCACCGGTCAACTGCGAAAGCGTGACTCAATCGAAACTGAGAAGATCGCTCCAGAAGCTGAGAGATTGACTTACAAAGTAGGAGCTGATTTCCCTCCTGCGTTAGAGCCTTTATTCGCCGTTTTTGCCCTCTTCAATGTAGATTTTCGGATTCAGCATAATGAATAGGCCCAGGTAAGCACAAAAACTCAGAGTCACTTTTGGTGCGGAGACTGCCTTCAGACCAAACTTCGCTACCGTATTGGACGGGTCCGCGCTCAAGACCTTGCGAATAGAGGCAAATCGTCCGCTAAATACTTAGGAAAGGTGCCTAGACGCACCTGAATGCGGATATCAGGACATTGCCTTTAAGGGTGCAATAGGAATTTAACAATGACATGTCTTTGGCTCAGTGATCAGGAGTTGATCTAACTCCTTGCATATGTTTTGTCGTGGTCCTCAACAGCTTTCCCTTCCGTTCAAGCGGAAATTCTAAAAAAAATTTATGGTGATACCCTGCGTTTTTGTGCAAGATTTAGCAAGTGTTCAAAATCGTGCAGGCAAATACAGCTGCTAGACTAAACAATTTGAAAAGTTATTTTTATTGCCTCTCATTTGGATCGAAGGAATATGTTGTAGCTTGAAGCGATATGAAAAAAGGATTTGCAGGAGTTCTAGCAAGCGTATCCCTAATATCTTCATACTTTCAAATATACAAGACACTTTCAAGTCATTTTTGGACATACTCCGTTCGTTCATTTATGGTAAGCACCCATTTGTGTCAACGAAATTCAGAGGCAAAAGAGCTTAAAAGTACTGTAAGTGGGCGGGTCCAGAACGAGTAGGCTGGGTCTGGAAGACTTCCTGAGTAAATTTCAGCTTTTCGGACGCGCTTTTTCACTCAGACTACACTAGTAGATCACCTGGGGGTCCGTCATTGCAACGCAGTAAAATCTCAATACTCATCATTTTGCCGAGCTGCCTGTAAAGCTTCAAAGAAGCAGATAGCAGTCAACAATCCTTTCTGTCCTCTTATCATTTCTCCGCTAGGAAGGCATTTCGCAGATTCTTCCATGACTCATTCGTCTATAGTGTGTGCTGCGCTTGGCCTTTCACATGGTTAGTTTGATTTTTGTAATCGGTCACTGGTTGAATAAAGCGTTATCCGTTTCTTAGAATACCTATCACCTATTCAGTCAGTGCATCGCATTGATTGTTTAGGCGTAATGTAACTATGTAACTTTTTGCTTTTTGCATGTGGCGCACAGTCTCAAAAAAATTACGACCTATAAATGCAGCCATTTTTGCTGAGCCAGCCATCACATGTAAGACTTACGAATAAGTGTGCAGGGGAAGTTTTCAAATTACTTCAGTTTTTGCAGATGTTCTAGGGAGGTTATTCAGCATGCTTACAAAAAATGACAGTCTTTATTCTATTATATCATATTGTCAAAAAATGACAATATGATGACAGTCTTTGTATGAAAGCTCCTTCTTCAAACGTTCATCTCATTTTTAGCCATATAAGCCGATGCCATTATTCGAATATGGTACTCGGGACAGCAATAAAAATGAGTTTGTTGGCCGCGAATACATCAGTCGATGCCGCTAGGAAGGTCTTATTGTTAGTTATAGCCACAACCACTTCCCACATGGGATCCCAGTTGCCAGATTTGCATGGAAGCTGACTCTGAGGATCCAAACATTGAATCCGTTCACAGGGACAGGGAATAGAAAAAGGTGAGGGCCAAGATCTCGAAAATCGCTGTTTTTTGTCTAGCAGCGCTATTCAACATGTTAAACATGATTACCGTGCTCAACCGATACGATAACATCCTCTTATGGTATTGCTGATGGGTTTCATAGGGTTTGCTTAGCAGTGAAGTACGTTTCGACAGATAATAGATGTTGTATTCGCATTCAATATCAGCCAGTGCCCCCCCCCCTCCCGCCCAGGCAGGCAAACTTCTAGCCAGCGCTAGGCGACTCTTCTAGTTGTTAGTGACTTCTTTATAAATGCAAGTCTCACCTACATATGCAAACAAAAATTATGTTCAGTTTGTGCGCATAAATATTATCATTTGTATGTGGTTGGGATGATTGTGGCTTGCTATAGCTTCCCAAACGCATGCGCTCATTCGCGCTGGGACCCGCACAAAGTACAGCCGCTTCAGGTCGCCGCATCACTCTTCATTAGCGGTTTGAGCCAAGTGTCACGGCAGACTCAAAATGGTGAGTTGTATGATCGCAAGTTTTTATATCCATTGTTAATGCTATGTAAATGTTCATGGGTAGTCTCAGGCCGAGATGGGAGGACATCAAAAAAGTGGTGAACGAGTCAAAATCAACGTGGGTGGCACCGTATTCGAAACTACCATCTCCACGCTGACAAGGCTGGATAATACTGTGGGTACAAATTCGCTCTCTTTCTATTCTTCAACATAGCCATAGTCCCTAGGTGCTTTCCACAATGGTAGCAAGTCGCTGGCGGAATCAGGAAGAGATATTCGTGGACAGAAGTCCGACTTATTTTTCCAAGGTGAGGCATATACTTCCTGGTTAGGAGAACGAAATGCGCCATTTGGGCCCTGCGACTGCTGGTCCTCGACCGGCATGGAACACCATTGTAAAAGGAACAGTGGTCTGCATAGGCGGAACCCAAATGGCTTCACACCCTCATATTATCTTTTAGAATCCAAACTTTTTTCAGATATTAGATTATTTGAGGGATGGTGAGAATGTTACTCTCCCCAAAGAAGATGAGGCTCGAGAGGCTCTGCGTAAAGAAGCTGAGGTGGGCTATGTGAGAAGAACTTTACATGCTTACATTCTCGTACCATAACTTACAGTTCTACAATCTCTCTGATCTGTCCAAGATGTGCGCACCTTACACATCCGTAAGCAAAGACGACAAAGGCTTTGAAGTAAAAGCATTCTGCCAAGGCGATATTGTGCAATGGAAGGAAAGCGCTATCCAAATGTACTGGAAGTATTTTGTCAGGTAAAACATTCGATGTATTGCGTACTGTTCTGTTTTAGAGTTTTGATGTACTATGCAAGTTTTGTGAGATAATGGTAATGTATTTTGCAAGATATTTGTACGAACGGGAATATCCATGGTTCGCGGAGGGAAAATCACGTACTTGTATGGCCTGTGGAGACACTAGTAATTGTTATGTTGGTCCCTCAGCCTCGGTCAGTATTGTTGAGCTCCGTAACATTGTGATCAGCTACGAAGACTGGATACCGCTGAGGCAACATATGCCATATATGAAAGGAAAGGTAACCTCTGCGGTAAGTGTCAAAATTTATCCAACAATAAGATTTCGTTTTATATGGTTTAGAATTTAGAGTTATGAAAGGTCCTGCTGTGAGGTGGAATGGGGCAGCCTGCGTACGCACATTCCGCAGTCTGTACTGCGCAAGACGAAATATTAGACAGTTTCCCATACCTTCGACATTATCTTGATTTATTGTACCTCTCATACTGATTCACTTCCTTTGAAGTTTCTCGTTAGGTTTGCCTGCTCAATAAAAGCTTTGTAGTCAAAATCTAATCACAGCAATCATCACACGGTTTGTTTTAGACAGGCTGTTTCCTCAAAGTAGCTGATGCAGTTACGCAGCCAATTTTCAAGAAATTCAAAACAAATATAGCTATACTCAACACATGGGAAAAATTACTGATTCTATGCGGTAATCCACTCAGCTTTTCATGGCCGTAGTCAAAAGAGTTGAAATGTGAGATTATGCTGGTACGAAAATCAAATGTTCAATCGACCGTCAATTTTACTCACGATAAACACTGCATTGACAATTTGGTGAACTCAAGATTATAGTCTAAGCTCAATTAGCGTGTATTCTCAATTACATAAGCTGAGTTGATAAAGAGAAGACGGGAACGCGTGGTAGACGGGATGTGCATACTTAATTTCAGTGAAAAAATCTGCTTACTTGAAAAAAAAACTCTTCTGTGTGAGCTGACTGGGAAGTCCTAGGACATTATCTACGCCGCAGTTATGTAACGACATTTGTTTTTTTGTGGCTGGCCAGAAACCACAGTTCTGATTTTCCGCTAGGTACCGTACTCGAAGACGCTGATTGATCCGCTCTTGAGGTACGGATCAGCGAAAGTCAAGTTTTCTCCCCCACGAATGTGCTTACGAACCGTTGCTTGGACAGGCAGTCGGAACTGCCAGTCATTTTACATGAGAAATTTGGGCAACCATATTTGCCTGAAGATTGCCATCAAGTTCACAAACTTTGCCACGATCTCTACGCATGGGAAGATGATAAATTGTGTGCAGCATCGTTCGGGAGTTGTGATCACATCACCTATTGTAGCTTCGCACGCTTAGGCATGCCGAATAGTTCTCGAAGGAAAGCTATTCTTGTAATGAAGGCGCACTCCATCTGTTGTTTGCAGCCCGGAATTTTGGCTGAACCATTGCCTCAAACTTGATCACCACTTTTCAAACATCGTGTAATGTAAGCTTCGATATAAAAAAGTGGGATCGCGCCGTGCTTGTATAGAAGATGGCAATGGGAAGCAGGCTCAAGTGCTTAGAAATGTTGAGTGATGCTGAGTCTCAATGAAGTTTTTGGGTCCTTTGGGCGAAGGATTCCTCAAGGGCATTGTCTTAGCAGAATTTTGTTTTCCACATTTTCACCTTTTCGGAGCCTCCTCGCCACAAGGAACCCCTTATTTGGGCCTTTCAACGCATGAAAATGGCGAAAATGAGCTTTCTCCGATGCTTTCTAGGTCGCATTTAGGCCCGTATGCACGTACATCCCCGCGTTGAGGGGAGGGGATCTGAGAGGGGAAGCGCCTTATCTCACTGCTTTAGATATCTTTCTTCTTTCTTCTCTATCGTGTTTATGAGGGTTCTCATACCCTTATACCTGCGCATCATAGATGCCAGGTTACTGCTATACAAGATTCAAATATTCACTATTTCATCCGAACCCCTGGGGATCCCCAGGGGATCATCTCACATTTTCAAAGTCGTTTATCTTCCTGAAAATTGAATGAAAACGCTGCAAAATTGTACTGAAGATATACTACTGCTGAGCATGTTTTCGACAGAAGAAACTGAATCTGAAGATTTTGATTTTTTCGATAATCCCTGGCTCGCGAGCAGCGGTTCATCGAAGATTTTGATATCTTGAGATTTCACTCATTTCTACTATAAATATGTTTAGCAGTGCTGTAGTATATCCACAGTACAATTTTAGAACATTTTCTTCGAGTTTCCAGAAAGATAAATAACTTTGAAAATGGGAGGTGATCCCCTGGGGATCCCCAGGGGATTAGACGAAATAGTGAATATCTAATCTTGTATGGCAGTAACCTGGCATCCGTTATGCGCAAGTATCAGTGTATGAGAACCTTCAAAACCAAGACAGAGAAAGAAGAAGAAAGATACATAGACTAGCGAGATATGACGCTTCCCCTCTCAGATCCCCTCCCCTCCCCGCAGGGATGTACGTGCATACGGGCCTTAGTGGAGAATACGTGCAAGTGGGAGGGGCGCGGAAGGCTTCCGGCGTATCTTCATTGAGTGCGGACCTGGAAAGCCTCGGAAGATGCTAATTTTTGCCATTTTCATGCGTTGAAAAGACCATATATGGATCCTTATGGCGAGAAGGCTCCGAAAAGGTGAAAATCTGGAAAATGAAATTCTGCCAACACACTGCCTTCAAAGGCAGCGTCCCACCAGACTGGAGGTACCTGGCTCTGGTAACAGTGTAATAGTATACCCCCTAAGACCACACACTTGGATCTGCTTGTACACTACCCTCTTCCACGCATGCGCTGCTCCCGTTCCAAATTTAGTGTCGAACTTTCGAGTACCGTATGCGACGACGTTGAATGGTCCTCTAAAGGGAAGTACAGTTCGGTGTAATCTTGAGTCAAATGTTTTGACCTCGTATTATACATTTCAGTAACGTGCTCTCTTTTTTGTACGTTTTAATTTTCTTGCTCAAGTTTCTTTCGACAATCTTTAGCTATCATGCTGTAAGTCTGCTTCAACTTAGAGCTACAGTACGGCGAATCGCCTGCTTTTTGTTACTGTAGGGCTACGGTATGCACTCTGAAGAGGTTTTTGAGCTCATAAGTACCACATCTTGCATTATGAAGAAGACACATGGTAAAAAGTATTATACTGAGTCAGTCAGAGTCGCTAATCCTAGTTATGAAACAACTGGATTTTACTCAGGGTAAAATCTTTGGTTGGTGATTTATGACTGGTAAACCGTAACGGTTTATCAACATTCCTCTAAAACGTCATTGCATAATTCAAAGCATGCAACTCTCCAGATTTTCGGAAAACTTTTGCATACGGTTTACATACATGGCGGTTATACTAGAAGTTCCTACCGTAAGGCATAGTGAAAAGGATTGGTATGTGCTCCATACTGTAAATACAAGTCGAAACTAGTTTTAGTGAATGGTACATACCTTAACAGCGGCAAAAGACACCAGGCAAGGAAAGGCACATTTCTTGGGGTACCCTGTACGAACTGCGGCTTACACTATCACCATAGATTTATTTGCACATTGCCTTCAAGCCCAAGAACACTCTTATTCCAATGCGTGTGATCATCAAATCCATAAAAGCTTGTGTTTTCTTCTTTAGCCAAAACCAAGAATGCTAGAGAGCTTTATCATTTAGGCTACTTCGGAGCAAGATGACGGCACCGAAACGTCAGTTTGAGTAATAAGGTCTAATAATCTTGGTTTCCGCTAAAAAGACAATCACAAGCTACACATCTACGCCAAGTTGCACAAAAAAATCGAGCTTGGAGAGCTCTTAACAAGGGATTATGTTCATATAAATCAATATACTCCTCTATCCATTTTTTACTCTGCATAAACTGAGATGTCGAATCGTTCCACAGGCAAAGCATACAAGTTGATATAGCAGTTTTCGATAGACGAAAAGCCCTAAAAACGAGGGTTTACCTATCGCAATTAGAACCACTGATCTTGCTGGGAAAAAGAAAGAAGCGTTGGTAAATTCTGGAAAAATCACTCGTTTACAGATTCTACTCGCCTATCTCGTAACTTTCTATGGAGTGGATATTTTCTGAATCCGAAAAATGAATTGTGCTCAGCTTATCAAGGCAAATCTTTCGGTATGCAGAATGTTCTTGATATCTCGATTTCAGTATTCTTAAAACTTTCTGCGGACGTCTCTTCGCAAAGGTGTGAAGCAGCGCGTACTGCCCCCAGTGGATTCAGAAAGAAATTTTCGATAGTACTTCTTCTGTAGATTATGGAGCGCTAGAAATTAGCCGCACAATTCTTTCCAAAGGAGTTAGAAGGGCTGGTGAATTCTGGAAAAATCGTGTCGTTCTAAATTTTTCTCACGGTAACTCCAAAGTTGAAGCTCTCTTGCTAAGCAGATGTGATTTTCGTAATCAGCAGGTCGGATAATCCCTTATGAACAAGTTCTCCAAGATGTTCGAGTAATTTCATTTTTTCTCGTTTTACGCTCTGAAGCTCGCCAAGCTCGCCGGTGGATTTTGGTCAAATTGTTCATTTTCTTAAACTGTAAGGAAACTTCGCTTATAGAGGTCTTCGAACACGCTTTTTACGAAAATCAAGGTCTTTGAGGATTACAGGGTCTTTTTGGTGAGATACGGTGATGACTGTAACTGAATCACGAAATTGCGTAACTTTGTCCACATTTCTCGCGTATCTGTCAGAAAACTTGCTTGCTTGCTTGTCCAAATCAAAGTTAGTAGGGACTGTGCCATCGAATGGTGCATGCCTCAGACTCCACTCTTCAGAAATCACCGAGTTATGAGCCTACGAAAACACATCCTCATGAATTTTGCCCGAAATGTAAAGATCGCATATTTCGTCGAAATTCCACCGTGAGTGCTTATGCAGCACGTTGATCAAATCTCTTCACGTCCTTTTTGGATCTTATTGTGTTAGATTTCGTAGTTTGAGTTCTAGCCACCGAAATAGCTTTGATATTCAACTGAGCAGCTGAAGCATAAGCAAGTACCATATTCAATACAGTGGGAGACTTTGGGCGAAGCGAACACATTATCCGCAATACGAGTGTCATACAAGCATTCATGGTGGAATTTCGACGAAATATGCGATCTTTACATTTTGGGCAAAATTCATGAGGATGGTTTTCGTAGGCTCGTAACTCGGCGATTTCTGTAGAGTGGAGTCTGAGGCATGCACCATTGGATGGCACAGTCCCTACTATAGGCCGTTCGCGCAGGGCGCGGAGGGTGCGCAGGGTGTGTATTGCGCATCACTCCTCTACCTTCGTGCACTCTCGCTGCCTGTTTTTCTCTGCGCCTCCTTCAGTCATGAACTGCCTCGAATGGACGCAATAGCGTTGCTCTCCGAGCACAGCGCGGACGTCCTATAACTTTGACTTGGACAAGCAAGCAAGCAAGTTATTTGATAGATACGCGAGAAGTGTGGGCAAAGTCACGCACTTTCGTGATTCAGTTGCAGTCACCTCACCGTATCTCACCAAAAAGACCCGGTA